TTTGTAAATCCCACCCTTTCCTCCCATTGGAGGCTTGGTTGTTGTTACTAATAAACACGGGCTCACCGCTTTCTTTCGCCTTCGGTTTAAGTCTCACGGCGACTTCCCCAAGTTTTGATTTTAACGCAAACTTTGATATTTGATTGTATTCCAGCACGTGCCGGCAGAGTCGGCTCGTAGTGCTGATAAGTGAGCATAGTAGTGACAGTAGGGGAATTTGTTGGGAGCGAATGAAATTGAAATTTGGTTTTCCTGTAATGACTTGACATGCATGCATCTGAAGCCGTCCTTCATATTGTTGAAGGAACTTTTAAGGGGGAACTAGCTAGTTCTTCTTCAACAAAAGAGCGAGGCTCGATCTTCTTTAACCGCCTTTTGTTGGCTTGTAAAGTTCACTACCCACTACCGTTATCGCACCTTGATTTTACATTTGACCAACAACCCATATGAAAGGTTCAGAAAACCCATCTGCTTGACTTGGATTATTGCTTGCGTATTAGGCGTAAGGTGTGACTGAAGCTTCTTCAGTCAAGGATGATTGGATAGACTTTTCCGTAAAATAAATCGATTGCAGACGCTTTTTTTTCGCTCAACCCTTCGGCGGTTCGATTCTTATCATCTATGCGCAGCGATATGTTGCATATGCCAAACTCTGCAGAGGGAAATTGTTTAACAGAAAAAGAAAACCACACACTATGTCTGAAAAGCGACATAAAATTAAAAAAAAATGCGAATTACCAAAATATAATAGTGAGAAACAGTCCCGCCTTGGGCCGCCATGTGTTTGTTCCTTCACAAAACAGTTCTTCTCAAAACCATTGATCTATGGTTTTTGACGTAATGCACATGATCAGTATGACCAGTACAAAAATACGCAAGACAATGTATGGGAAGTAGCCACCCCCCTCCCCCCACACCACCCCACCCCACCCGAAAAGAACATTCCGAATTCCGAATATAGGAATCACGATCAGTAAATTAATTAAAGCCGTTATTTTTTTTAGAAATTCCCGATTCGGCATTTATTAATTGGCCAAGAGCTAGCCGTGAGTCTCGTTTCACTATCTATTAAATTTGTACAAAAAAGAGTTTCATAGATAAAATTTAACTTCCTGTAATCTCGATCGTCAACAAAATGAACATACCAAGATTTTAAAGGTAAAAAAAGGTATCTGTAATTAGGAATACACTCTTGATCCCTACTTCTCAGTTATAACGGAATCACATTTTTTTGTGATTCACTTGGTTAACTTTCTGTGAAGTCTGGTAAGGCGCTGTTGGCATTTGAGGAGTGGAAGCCTGAAACTGAAAAGAAAAAACCTGTTAGCTTTACCTTCATCGTCTAACAATACCAATTTAAGCACTGAAACACACGTACCAACTTCGCGGTATTCCCAGCACCGTAATTGGTATTGCCTTCAACGTGTATAAACCAACAGTTGAGGTCATAATTTTAAGAAGACATGTAATTGTTGCCCTTGCCTTGTGCCCACTTTCATCCGCTTCATTAAACATTGCATCTTTTACCCAAACAAGCAACAAATAGAAACAGGAGTTATAAACGCTTAACCTTATAAAAGGCTGAATTTCCTGGTGAAAGCATGAAGTAACTAACACACACTTTCATATAGCTCATGCACAACTTTCAGGACTGTCCACAATCGCGTGGACTACAGCCAGTGGGTCTAGTTTGTAAATTTGTCCGTGCTGTTTTGCAGTTTTTAGGCTAATTTAGCAACAGAACAGGAACGTCATTTGACGACGGGAAAGCGCGCGGAAAGGACTAAACTCGACTTCCGGTGCCCAATTTGCCGCCCTGCCATGGGTCAAGCCAGTGGTTTGATTTGCGCGCACCGTCGTCAACTGAAGTTCCCGCTCTGTTGCTAAATCAGCCTATTAGACAGATTAAGATTCACGTTTACGCCAAACGGCAAACGTGAATTTGTACCACGTGACCAAGTTTTTCCCTTAATTGTCGTTAACTGTTTATTACTCAACTAACAAATAAGAAGTTTTCACGCCGGTTTTATTCATAAGAATTGTTCTGGACAGTTTTGATCTGCTTATTTCCTATTCTGAGAAATTCTCAACTTCATTCTGACGTTTGCCGTTTGGCGTAAACGTGAATCTTAATCTTTCTAATGACCTTTCAAATTGCTCGGTTATGCAAATCTACTTCTTTTATTATACATTTTTGTACACAACATCTGTCTTCTCGTTGGCTAATTAGAGCCCACGGTTAATTCAAGATGAAGCTATTCTGTAGGTTACGTTGCGCGCGCAGAGCATGATTTCCGAGATGATATCAAATTTTGTGTGTGTTTGTGTGTGTGTTGTGTTTGTCGTCATTTTCTTCAACTAGACAATATATAGAACAGTTATTTTAGAACGGTTTTTTTGGATTCCCCTTAGCTCCCTGAGTTAGCAAACTACTGAGGTGATTAACACTATATGTATACCTTTTTCTACCCTTATTTCTTTCATTCTCAAATCAACTCCCCCTCTAAAGCATTTTAGATCCAGGGAATCAATATCAAAATTAAATGCAACTAGAATTATTTTACGAAACTGATAAACCTACGTACCTGTCCTATCTCCTCATAAGCTCCATGTTCTTCCTCTTTCTTCATCTGGGCTACATCTGAGTTTTCATAAAAGGCGCTCATGTGTTGCTGCCCTTGATGATGACTTTCTACAGAAGTCACGGCAGAATACAGAGCATTAACAGCATTTTTCTCTTCAGCCAGCTCAATATTTTCCTGCGGTTTGTCTTTCCTTGTGTTTTCTTTCTTTCCACGTAAATGATGGCAGAGCCTCCAACTTACAAACGAAAAGTAACACGCCCAAGACAATGATGATGAAAGTATGCACAGAAACACGTGCCTTTGTTGAGGAAACATAGACGTTGGAAGCTATTTAAGAAAAAAGGAGAATTTAAAATGATCACATTAGAAATGTTGAGTTTTCAACGATATTCATTTCTCTTGTCCTCCTTAATATCCCCTTGGAACTACTGAAAAACAGTAATCCCGAATAACTGTGACTCTGCGTCCGAAAAAAAACACGTGCCTTTGTAGAGGAAACATAGACGTTGGAAGCTATTTAAGAAAAAAGGAGAATTTAAAATGATCAAATTGGAAATGTTGAATTTTAACGATATTTATTTCTCTCGTCCTCCTTACTAATATCCCCTTGGGACTACTGAAAAACAGTAATCCGAAATAACTGTGACTCTGCGTCCGAAAAGAACGCGAGGTTTACCTGAAATCATTGGCAGAGTCATGACATTGCGGCCTTATGGTTAAAAAATAAATAAATAAATAAACTTAATTAGTGATATATATTTGGTTCTAGCGTATCATTTTTTGCTATTTGTTTTGCTACATGTATATTCGTATCTAACATATAAACGTTTTTCTTCTTCCGCACCCGTATAAATTTTTCTTTTTTAGTCCCGTTGAAAGTTTGTTTTTGCAAGCCAAAATATCGACCAATATAATGATCGGTTGACTCTTTTTCTACTTAGTATATATATTCAGGATTTAGTGATCGAGGTCTACACGGACAATTATTCTATCTATCACTGGTTTGTCGCTCCGGTTTTGCCGTTTTCAGCGTTTCTGAAAATGCTTTTTGATTGAAAGGGAATCAAGTGCTAATGTGTTGAAAAGGACCGTGTAACACTTTCTTTATTAAATACTGCCATTTGCAAATATTCAGTGACTGGCCTCTTTTCCCCAACTGTTCGCAAGTGAACGTTCGCTGCTGTTGCATACCATGGTAATGCTCTGATGAAAAGTAATGACGGTCCCGATTGATTCATGATACAGAGATGTTGATGCTGTTGCTGGCAGTTGAATTCATGTTGAACCAGCTGATACTAAATATTTTGCTATTTGCCATTTTTGTTTTGCATTCATGCATCGCCATTGTTTTCTTCTTGTGTTAGAGTGCTTCAAAGACAGCCGTTATCATATCTAGTCGTGCACTAAAATTACTGAAATGCTGGGAGAATTCCTCCTAATGGCAAAAGGGTCATAATAAGATCATAGCTGCTTCCAATTTACGATGCTAAAGTTATCATAGGCTCAGATAGTGGGGGAGACGCGAAAGTAAAAGGCACGCGAAGGGTTGGCGGGTTGGGAAAAAGGAAGGAGAGCCTGTTTCTTTTAGGATCCTCATCCGCCCACTTTTGGCACGTTTGAGATAATTAGATTTCTGCTGTCAAACTCTGAGTTGGAATCTTTCTCAAATTTCTCGCAAGAGTACTTTGCGCGGCGCTAATCCCTTATGCGAGTGTGAGCATTTTGGAGTGTAAAAAGGGGTCGGTAGGCAACACACGACTTTTACCTCGTGCCAAAATGCTGCTTGTCCAATGATTTTTTTCTCTTACGGGTAGTAGCCCCAAGAGAAACTGAAAACAACGCTTATGCAAAATTTTGGAGTAAACAACAAAGAGTATTATGGTATGTTATAGTATTTTCTGCAGTGGTCAATACTAGGATTGCAGAAACATAGCTCATGCTCATTTGCATGTCATTATAAAAACAAAAGAGTATCAAAACTTAAGATGATGATTAGGGTGATGAAAGTAATGATGTGAGTGAATATGATGTCGAGTCAGGGTAGAACTTTCCACGGGAACCAGAAATTTTTCACCTAACTTACTTCACTTGATCATACATACGTTTCAAGGCGTTGGTTTTCTTTTTTCGCCTGTTAGTGGAGAGGCCTTTTACAGGATCTGAAAAGGAAAAAGAAAAACACGTTCTACCTAAGTTTTTGTTGCCGTCTATTTAAAATGTAAACTACCATGACCAAACATCTTTGAAATGCGTTAAAACTTCGCGAAAAGGCCGAACAAATTGGTTACCTCGCGCGACTGGTTTTTTTTTCTTTTTTTGGACTAAAGAATAGCAAATGTCAAACAATGCACATATTCTCGTGGTCTGGACTGTTAGGTTGTATTATCCGTAAGTACCTGGAATGCACACCACACAAGCCGCCCTGTTAGGCCAGCACCAGGTTCTAGGCGTTAGGTCACACTCCGTTAATAACGTCTCATTTCCATCACACTGAACGCTATACATAAAGGAGGAATCTGATGCCGTTGTAGCTGCTGCCACAGCTCCTTGAAACCCAAGCTGACGGCAGACCACGTTTGCTTCCTTTATATCCCAGTTGCTACCGCAAACTTCTCTCCTGGATCCTTTGTAGAACACTTCAACTCGACCTTGGGATGTAACATTACCCCAACCAACCAATCTAACTAAATTAAAGACAACAAACAGAATAAAAATTGTTAAGGATTCCAAGGGAAAAATCGAGTGGATCAAAACGGTTATTTGCCATTCATTGGAAACCAACCGCCGCAATGTCGATGGAGTGAGTGTGACCGCGGGTTCGGAACCTGCTTATGCCCCATTCAATCTCCCTTTTTTTTTTTCTAAAAAACTTGAAGGGACTTAGTACTTAGAAAAAGATAAGAAGAGTAGACATTTGAAGAGACGTAGGTAGGTGAGGTAGCCCGCCTGTCCATATAATCTCTCATTTTAATTTAATCTCGTTTACATGATGAATGGGGTGACCCGCCAAAGCGGGTTACCAGGTCTAACAGACAGGGTAACGCTCTCAGCCGGGGTCAAATTTTGCCATGTGCAAACGTTCAAGGCTAGGTGAAGTAACCAGCCTAGCAGGGGGGAGATTCGTGAAACATCAAATTCGTGCAAAATTCACTTTGGCGGTGGTTTTGCATCATTATTAAAGGTAACAAAAGAAAGCAACGGCGCTGAAGGTTGCAGCAAGAGCAGCAACTTAAGAGTGGAAGAGTATTAATCGCCAAAACAATTGGTTTGCCAGCATTTTTCCTGTTTAAGTGCTTAACGACCATTCAACAATCTTGAGAAAATGCACCCCGGGATGGCGGGGTTGTAAGATTGCATGTAAAGGAGGGTTAATATTTAGCCCTTCCTAAGCTGGGGTTCCCCACCTCCATGTAAACAAACCCTTAGGCAATCCATGTAAGTTAAGCTAGGAGGGGAAGGTACGGTTCTGCAGGATGGAATCTAATACTGACTGGTCACCGACGTGTTTCTAGAATTTCCCAATAACACCTTGCGCGATTGCTAAACCAGAATTACCCAGAACCGCCTTGCGCGCATGCTGAAAAATTAACCGGCACCACCTTGCGCGCCTAGTTTCTTCAAATCGAGAAGATTTGGCATATCATTAATGCAACGAAATAAACGATACTTTCTTAAGCGGGGGAATTTAGGTTCCCTCCTCGGGTCCCGGCCTCTGTGCCGGAATCCTGCGGGGGCAATAAACTAAGCAAGATGACAAGAATGTAAATAAGTTTGTATATTTTGTGACGTTGTATTGTACTAACTTCAGTCCATCTTCTCGTGTCACTTTTATAGATCTATCTTTCTTTTCCTTTCCTTTTCTTAATTGCTTTCTAGTTGTAAATGAGCAGAGGATGTTTTGTTGGTACATATATGTTTTAATTTAATTTAATTTGTAACTTATGAACATCAATAATAACAATAATAATAATAATAATAATATAATAATATAATAAACAAAAAAACATACTTTATTACTCTTCTCAAATTGAAAATTAAATACAAATTTAGTATAACTATAGTTAAAAAAGACTTCTTGGTGGTCCGGTGGTTTTCAACAGAGCAAATGTAAACAACTGTCTATAAACTAAAAAATGAAAACTTCTATGTACATCCCAATAATAAAATATCTATAGCTGTTGAGTCTAGGGAAGTCCTGCTTGACCCTTCTCTATTTCTAGATCCCTGTCCTTAACATCTAAGTTCCTCCTTCTCGGAGTTCTCGAACCCCTTAGGCATAGGAGCGCGCTCCGAAAAATTGCAAAGGACACTTTCGCCCTGACCCATGAAATTGTTGTGGCGTAGCTCTCTTGCTTTTTTGCAGATAATAGCTCGGCTAATCTTGAGTGGTATCTCAGGCATTCGTCAGCCATCCCTCCCGTCGTTTTAAATACCAGTGGGGTGAATGTGCCTTGCTCTATTTCTGTGACGCGAGGGTTGTATTTTCCCTTCTTTTCATTTTCATGAATCCTGTAAATTTGCTTGGGGCTAAGATCTCTATACGAGTCCGCATAATAATAATAATAACAATGATAATGATGTAAGTAATCAATTACATTTTACAACATGAAAACTGAAACCTGTAATAAATTAGTTACACTAGCCAGTAAAAAAAACACGGTGCATTGCGTGGTCCAAAATTTCTTGCCGCGGCAACCCTAGCTATTGCGTATGGTTTCATTCACAAAACGGCCTTTTTTCTTACCTGAAGAACAAACTACACCTGCGTCTTCTCTATGATCACAGTTGTGTTTTCCCCAGCCGTTGTGACGACACTCTGTCAATGATCTTTCATTACCAGTACACCTTACGTCATCCATCCATATTGTTCCATTTCCTTGCCCAAAAGTCGCAAACACGTGTGCTTTTACAGCTCCTTCAAATCCAAGTTCTCTGCAAACTACGTTAGCATCTGTGAGGTCCCACAAGCCATCACACACTGTTCCCCAGGTTCCATTGTAAAACACTTCCACTCGGCCTTGCAGGATAGAATCTGTACCATCGACCAAACGAACATCTAGGAGATAAGCACATCATTTTAATATAATCTCGTTTCTCCTCATAATATATTAACTGTTTAATCCAACAAAAGGGGCATGTTTTTCAAGGCCACTTCTTAATGGTGACCTAGAGCACTTTTTGGAGTGATCGTTTGTTACGGCTGCAAATTGAGTAATTGCGGCAGTGCAGAACCGATACATATAAGAGATGAATTTTGTACTTTCAGTAGCCAATTATGTTCGCTAAAAATGTGCAGGACGTTCGACGCAACTCAAAGACGTTTTACTGCGCTTCTCAAGCACACGCGAACTCTGAAGTTCAAAAGCCAACTGACGTTTGCGTTTTTCGCTGCAGTCTATCCTTATGCCGGACCTCTTAGGAAACAAAACTTTACTTAAATGGGCTCAAAAGGTCATGGTTTGTGATCTGTGATTGGTGGATTTCGATCCGTTTTGCGCGTTTCTGTGTTTCAAGGTTCGTTGCTTGTGATTCCATTGTAAAACACTTCCACTGGTTTCTTAAAGTGGCGAATTAAAGACCTTTCTTATTTTCCCTTCGTTTTAAAATTCTCAGTTTAAGGCAAATTCGATTCTTCTTGGGCTGATAGTTTAAAGCAACTACAAAACCTTGCCAAAATACACTCATGGGGGGTTGGCTTTAGCTACGAGTCAAACCTTGAGTGTATTTTATATCAACTGTTTAGCGCCCATGTCTAAAAAGGGTAGCAATCCGAAACATATCACAGCTGAAAGCTGAGCGCAAATTGAGTACATGTCTATGAAACATTTATTTAATAATAAGGCCAAACTCAATTAACTCGTGAAGAACTATATAACGATACATTAATTATCCAAACATAACGTTTTTATTACTTGAGCACAGGACACCTGCGTCTTCTCCATGATCACAGTCTTCTATTCCCCAACCGTTGTGAGGACACTCTGTTAACGATCTTTCGTTTCCAGTACACGTTACGTCGTCCATCCATATTTTTCCATTTCCAGGTCCAAAAGCAGCCCACTTGAATGCCACTATAGCTCTTCCAAATCCAAGTTGGCGACAAACTACTGTGGCGTCATTAAGGTCCCAGTCGTCATCACACACTGTTCCCCAGGTTCCATTGTAAAACACTTCCACTCGACCTTCTGAGATGGATCCACCTTTGACCAAACGAACGACTGCAAAATGACCAATTGACTTTACACGGTTTGTTGCCACTTTAGAAACGAGAAGGAAACTGGAACCAAAATGTGTCTCGCAATTGTTTCTGGGATCGTTACCATGGACGCGCCGGTCAGCTATTGGCCAATTGTTTGCTCTGTCCCTAGTAACAGTCCCAAAAGTCTTTGCGAAACTTAACTCAGTCCCGGCAGTTCCATTCTGGTTTCTTAAGTGGCAATTAAAGACCTTTCTTATTTTCCCTTCGTTTAAAAAATTCTCAGTTGAAGGCAAATTCGATTCTTCTTGGGCTGATATCATTCAAAGTAAGTCTAACTTAAACTAAAAGACCACTGTTTTCAAAAATCAGTAAACCTCGATCGAGATTAATAATAATAACGTCTGTAAGTGGGTTCAATTTTGAATACATTCTGAGCAGTCTATAGCTTCATGAAATGACAGCACTGGTGACATATTTTTGTTTTATGACCAGTTTTTAGCCATCGAAAAATTTTATTCATAAGTTTGGAAGCTACAGGTGATGCATTTTATTTCGACGTAGTATAATATATAATATCAGCTCATCCTCGATTAACATAATTTTACAACCACATTATGGTGGCGCGAAGCATGAATAAGCCGGCAATGATAAAGTAAGTCAATCCAAACTTTCTACTTCTCAAATGTCTTGAATGAGCACTTCCATGAAAAGTCTGCATGTTCTATACTACTGAACTTAATACATACCATTGTTGCTCCCTTCAATATAACGAAACGTTAAACCTGAAAAAAAAAAAAGATCCACAAGATTAGCTCTGGACTGGCAGACCACTGCACGTCAGAGGGGATGGTCGCAAGTTCGATTCCCGGGGCCTGAGAGTTACGGACGGTACTGTCTTTGCTCTGCAAACGGCGCGGCTATACTTTTGCATGGTTCGGGTGGCTTAGTATAGTAGAAATAGCGATATTTTCTCCACTGGAAGGCCTAAAAACAGAGTCCTCAATTCAATCAATCTCTTCATGGTAACATTGAGGCTTGAACTAGGACTTGGAACACTTTCTGCTGAATATAATTAATATAGCATTTCAGTGGTGTTTAGCAACAAAAGGCAAACACCTTTCACCTGTAAATATAAGTAAAATGATCGAAAAGATGATTTTATCGCGAATTTTGTATTTTCTGTGCATCGCTCTTGTTCTATGGCCGCGGTCACTGCCCACTCAGCGTTACAGCTGGATGCAATTAAACAGCAGAATCAGTAAACTTGAACTTTATTCAAATACCTTAAGGAGTTTCAGTATAGGTTAACTTTTTGTTAAAAAAGATGTTTCGCTTAACCAAACGAAATAAAAGGCCAACGCGCGTGGATTGTAGGATAGAGAAAATGAAAAAACTGTCACTGAAGGTACAAGAAGGTACCTGATGATCAGACGAATGCACGTGTTTTTTTTTTTTTTTTTATATAATCCGTATGTGTTTATATCAGTACTGTAGGGTGCATCAGTGTCCAAAGTATTCAGTCCCAAGGGAAAGCTTCTACAATCAAATCCAACAAAATTTTGTCGATTTTTATCAGCTATCTTGCACAGAATTAGTAATGAAATTGATGAATTCACAGAATTTTCAGCTGTAAATTCACATTTGTTGAAATTTTTTTCATTATGTAATGACTTACGTAATAATTTGTTATCAAATCATACTGATGACACTTGATTGACTATTGTAATCATTGCATTGTATCATCTTTAGTATATTAAATTGTTTTCTATCTTGAAGCTTTTGCAATACTGTAACTCATATAGTCATGCAAGTAAAGCCTATGTTGTTGTTCTTGTTGCTTCACAAAAGCGAAATATTTAACCGCCGCACGTGGCATCTTTTCTTTGTCTTACTATAGCCCATATTTAGAAAAGCTATACATTCGGCCAGTTTCAGTTCTACTGATGCCCTTGATGTTGATTTTCAAAAAGAAACAGTGATATAGAAAATGGAAGATTAAAATGGGTAAATGACGCAACGGAAAGACTATGTTGTTACCATAAACAATGTTATGTTCCCCTCGCATTTTTCAAGTTCAATTTTTGTTAACAAGGTTTATTTTCCCATACTGTAAACGCGGTAAAAAGAAGTCTTGTATCTGTATTCTTGCTCGCGCCCCGTGAGGGGTACTCCGAGTGCGGCCTATAAGGGGATCCGAAGTTCTCAAGAAAAGGGCACCTTTTTCTGGCTTCAGGCATATAAAAAGGGTGTGGGTTTCACGAGTTGAAGGATATGATTATGAATTGGTAAGGAAATCTGTCATTTCGGTCTTTAAAAGAAGTTAAATTTTAAGGGAATATCAGACGAGCCGTTTTTTACGGCTGTGAAAGGAGACAGTGCATTTACGCCAGCTAAAACCAGGGATGTAGCTTTCTAAGTCTAGGTATTTGAAGAGATTACGATTTTTCGATAAGATGCAAACGAAAGAAGTACCTTTTATTTCAAAAATGGCACATAGAAGGGTTAAGGGCTGGACCTCGGGCTGGAAAAGGCTTCCCGTATAAAACTTTGTTGAGTGCCCACCTCGGGGCTCCCGCCTTTTTCTGATTTATTTTGCCATCCTCTCTTGATTTTTTTGAATCCTGGTCGTTACCAAATCTAAGCATTCATACCATGAAACAGCGTTTAACCCTCAGTTTTTATGGGGAGCGCAATTCAATTGATTTTTACTGCAATTGCACCTACGGCTACCCTTCCTAAACACACCCATAGTACAAACCCTGATCTAATAGACGAATGACTTACTATTTCATTATCAAAACTCAGGGAGCTTTCCAAAAGTCAGAACTGGGCCCGGCCGGACCCAGTGGCCAGACCGGACATTTTGGCAATGAAATAGCTTTTTTCCAAGAGGTTTGGTTGAAAAACCATCTCCTTTGTGCATAACGTTTAGGATTTGATCGATCTGAGCTGGATGACTAAGTTTTGATTAAAAGTGAAATTTTCATTGCGATGGGAATAGGCTGACTGATCGGTTCTGACAAGTGGAAAGCGCCTTCAGTATCATGTGACCGTTTCAACGCTAAACAGAGTTAGTATATACTAAAACAGTGCGGGATAGTGTTTTTCGCGTACTCTGATTGGCTACTCAACCTTCGGATATCCATCCATGCAGTGCTATTCACTGATTCACCTCCAGTTCCTCCGAGCGAGCGACGCCAAACTCGCGCAAGTCACGAGCAAAATGGCTTGCCACGGTTCGCTGCCGTAGCAAAGAAAGTAATTTCACAAATAATCAAACAATTCAAACTGATGCCGAAATACATGAAGGTGACTAAGTAACCTGCGTAGTAGGCCCAAGAAAGAACGGGCGCGCGAGAGGGAGAAAAAAACTGGTAAAAAAGTTTTTTGTTTACAAATACAAATTAAGTCTTGCGTTACTTTATTTAGCTGACATGTTCATAAATAAGCTTACCGTAAACGATCTAATAAACGCCCACTCTCAAATAAACGCCTCTTATCAAATAAACGCCCCCCTCCCCTTACACTGTTAAGTTAGTATTAAACGCCCCCTGTCTAATAAAAGCTCCCCTTGAAAATTGCCCCCAAATACTAGGAAATGGCATACTGTATACAGTTATGCTGAGTTCGTTAAAATAAGTTACGAGAATAAACGCCTCTCTCTTTTAAACGCCTCCCATCTATTAAACGCCCCCTCTTGGACCCCTAAAATTAAATTAACGCCCCGGGTGTTTATTAGATCATTTACGGTAACGGTAGACAGAGAAGATTAAACAGTTTTTTTTACAGAATCGTTTTAAATATAAAAAGAATTCTTTGAAGAAATTCCCCGCAAGAGCCGAAACAAATGCCTTAAAAAATTTTATTTGTCGAACAAGAAGACGCGACCGCCGCCGGTTCGGTCAGTGCGCGCCAAAATTGTAATCGTTGGCAACAGTTAATGAGTTAAAGTCATCATTTTTGTGCTCAATTATCTCACTATTTTAATATATACTAAAACAATCATTTACCTTAGTGTGGGTGGCTAGTGGGTTAGTAAACTCGACCCTTTAGATTTCAGGAAAACTACTGAGATGAAATTTAACTGTTAAGTTAAGATAGTGGTTCATATTTACTGCCTATTTTAAGCCACCAATAAAATACCAGTTGTCCTTTCGCGCGAAAACATGGTATGTTCACATGTATGAAAACAAAATGTTATGATCACAAGCGAAAAGATCACCGTTGCTATGGTTGCATAATAAATCACATAATGGGTTTTATATAGTAAATATCGAACATTACATCGCCGCATGGAGAACAGAGATACGAAATTTCTCCTCTCTTCTCGTGTCGAAAAATATCCACTCGATGTACTTATTACTCGTTAACAACGTTTAAGAAACACTCCAACTGGAGAAATTTCGTTTCTTCAGGCAGCCAGGTAATATCCTCTGTTTATAAACTCGATCCTTGAAAAAGTGCAAAAAACCAATCATTTCTCTCATTCAGTCTGCTTCTATGGTAGGGACTGGTACAGATTTGTTTCCAATTGAGAATAAACCGATGCATAAACTTCACGAGAGGCCTGCAAATAACAAAAGACCTGTTACAATAGGTTTACCTTACTCAAATTAGTGACAAATAAACTAAATTAAAAACTATTGGGAGTGAACAAAGTTTGTAAGCCTTACAAAAGGGTGACATGCTGGGCGTAAGAGACTGTAAACTTCTAATTCTGTGGATTTAGCTCCAATGACTTGGAGACCACCATTTCTCATATCACGTCTACGAGGGGCGCTCGGATAGAGAATCCAGTCTCCTAATATTCACTACTGTTTAAGATCTAAAGCACTTCACATTATTCACGTCAAAGGAAACCGATATTATTTTACGAAACTATTTACCTGTCCTATCTCCTCATAATCGTCATGCACCTTTTTCTCTTTTTGGCTCACATAATAGTTTCTGTTCTCATTAAAGATGTTCGTCCGCTGTAGCCCTTGGTAATGATTTTCCAAGGAACAAATACCAGTGTAGAAAGAGGTCTCGCCTTCTGATCTTGAAATATCAGCAGCATTCTTGTCTTCAACCATCTCAATATTCTTTCGTTTATCTTTGCTGGTATTTTCTTTCTTTCTATGTGACTGATGCCAGAGCCTCCAACTCACAAACCCCGTACCCACGAGTGAGACAAAAAGTGAAACGCCCAAGACAATCTCTGTGACAGTGATTGTACGGACAGGAATATGTACCTTTGTGCTATCTGAGAAAACAAAGGGTTTAGAAACTTTGACCATGTGTACAACAGAATAAACTCAACTTAATTGTAATTGGCATATTAATCAAGTAAAAACACAGTACAAATGATACGGATATGTATATTAGTAATGCTTAGCCCGAGAAAACAGCCGACATTTGACGACGCTACAACTGGTTTCCCCGCCAAATGACGTCTGAGAAACGAGCGCAGAAATTCCACACTGATGACGCGTCACTACCCAGATCTGGGTAGTGCTTCTGATTGGTTGAATCAAATTTCCCACGCGGCACGACCAATCAGAAGCACTACCCAGATCTGGGTAGCGACGCGTCATCAGTATGGAATTTCTGCGCTCATTTCTCAGACGTCATTTCGCGGGGAAATCAGTGGTGGCGTCGCCAAATGTCGACTGTTTTCTCGGGCTAAGTAATGCTGGGAAAATTTCTTCAAACAGAATTAATGTCCCACTTGTCACACCAGGTCTTATTTCTTTCTCCGTTCTACGTGTAAATTCAACGATGAGGAGGACGGAGAAAATGATTTATACCTGAACCAAGACCCGTAATTAGGAGCCCTGACTTCAATGTGCCCATCCCAGGCTCCATTCTGCCCATTCCAAACAGAGCTGAAATTTCACAGGAACCAGAAATTATATACTTACTTTACTTGATCAAACATACCTTTTAACGCTTTTGTTTTTGCTTTTGGTGAATAAGTGGGGAGACCTTTTTCAGGATCTGAAAAAAGAAATAATTCTAATTACTTCACGTCAGTTTTGCCTGGCACGACAAAGTTCATTAGCTCCACCTAAAAGGCCGACTAAATTGGTTAACCGAGCGCAACCACTGTAGAGTTAAGAAACAGATATAAGATTTCAGAGAAATTATATGTAAGATACCTGACCGTGCTCCGGCCAGTACCTTAAACATTTGCACGTGTCACGCTGGTGGTCCAACGGCAGTCATTGTCTGATATTGTTTCATGGAACTCTGTTGGTCTCTTGTTGTTTTTTTCCATATTAAACGGACTCGTACCGAGCTCCCCTCAGTTTCGAATTAGCCAATCAGCCGTTACTGCTAAGCTGTGTTATCTGTGTTATCGTAAGTACCTGGCATGCACATCACACAAGCCGCTCTGTTTAGACAGTCCTGGGAGCTTTTCGACTCCTTGTGGTCACAATTTGTTAGTGATGTCTCATTTCCAACACAATGAACGTCATAGATCAATTTTTTTGAAGGGAAACCCGTAGATGTAACTGCTGCCAAAGCTCCTTGAAACCCGAGCTGACGGCAGACCACGATGGCGTCCTTTATATCCCAGTTGGTACCGCAAACTCCTCCCCAGGATCCTTTGTAGAACACTTCAACTCTTCCTTGAGATGTAACATTACCCCAACCAACCAATCTAACTGTATTTAAAAGAAAAAATAAGATAATATTAAAGATTCTTAATTGCGGTCATTTTTTGCAGGAATTGAGTGAATCAATACAGGTCGTGATCTATATTGGGACCAACCGTTTTTGGTTGGTGAGTTAATTGCCTTTTTTCACGTTCTATTGGTGGTGGTATTTACCGAGCCGCAAAGGAGAGAAACAATAATGAGGCCTTCCAACGGGGTAGGAACGATATGCGACAAGGCCCAAAAAACTGGCCACAGTCCTCTTAGAAAGCACCGGCAATCAACAGAAAAAGGAGGAAAAACTCAGTGCGACAATGACATTTAGTAGCCTACCAGGCGACAGGCAGTCTCAGAAATGACCGACAAAGCGATAGCAATCCCCCACCCCTCCCCTCCCCCACTTTGAATGGTCTCAACAATTCTCTATAGCTGTTCCGATCTAACAAGGTCAGGAAAGCGACAATTATTACAGACAATTCTCCGCTATTATAGCCCCATGGCGTGCATGTTCAGTAATCAACTCAACTCGTCAACGGGTAGAAAGATTAGCTACAATGTTAGTAACTCATCCCTGCACTTTAAAGAATGTGAATAGATGTTCAGTGTGGGCTTCTATATTATCCTCTCTCATCTAGCAATTTCTTTTTTCTTTAAACCTTTTATTTTATGCAGAAGAACGTTGTTTTTACCTGGGGCGCAAACTACACCTACATCGTCACTGTGTTCACAGTTTTGTTTTCCCCAGCCGTTGTGACGACACTCTGTCAAAGATCTTTCATTACCAGTGCACCTCACATCACCCATCCATATTGTTCCATTCCCTCGCCCAAAGGTCGCAGACACGGATGCTTTTACAGCTCGACCATATCCAAGCTCCCTGCAAACTACGCTGGCGTCTATTAGGTCCCACGAGTCATCACACACTGTTCCCCAGGTTCCATTGTAAAACACCTCTACTCGGCCTTGCAGGATAGAACCTGTACCATCGACCAAACGAACATCTAGGACAAAGGACATTGGACTATTTAATGTCATTCTAACACAGTAGCCTCCATTGATAAGATCCTGTTTAATCGAAAATAAGGGTCATGATTCCCACGATTTGGAGTGGTTATTTTAAATAAATTTCTATCGTTTTTAATAGGTCATATGCAACCACTGGGCACGTGGTTCAATACGGGTGAAAACTAGATTATAGATTCCCAATACATTTAACACTACTTAAGGGGGCAGCGTTTCATTTATGACCATTTATGTTCGCTAAATGGACAGAAGATTATATGCAACTCAAGGACTTTTAGTGACAAACAAACCTCCAGTGTGTAGAACCCAGGTCTGACCTGGTTATAGTACTGACCCCTGTGGCCAGGCCTGTGGAGGGCGATCACCTCCCGTAAGCTAACACAGCCCTTGGCAAAATAATACACTCATGGGGTTCGACTTTATCTAAGATTTCAAAACTTGGGTGTATTTTACATTAACTGTTTGACGCCCATGTCTAAAGAGCTAGGGTAGAAATCCGTAAAGTCAGCTGAAAACAGAGCTTAAATGTGTGCAAGGCAATGAAGTATCTAAGACCAAACTTGACTAATTCGTGAAAGACTATAACTATACAAAAAAAGTCTATTACTTGAGCAGGAGACACCTGCGTCTTCACTATGATCACAGTCTTCTATTCCCCAAACATTGTGAGAACACTCTGCTAATGATCTCTCCCTGCCAGTACATCTTACGTCATCCATCCATATCTTTCCATCTCCAGGTCCAAAAGCAGCTGATATATAAGCCTTTATAGCTCTTCCAAATCCAAGTTGGCGACAAACTACTTTGGCGTCATTTAAGTCCCAGCTGTCATCGCACACTGTTCCCCAAATTCCATTGTAAAACACTTCTACTCGACCTTGCGCATGCGACATGGAATATCCACCATTGACCAAACGGATGTCTGAAATAAACAGGAACTAGGCAATACACAAGTTACTTTTTGTCAAATACTGTCTTTTTCGAGGCTTTTTAATAAGCGGCCCTTGTGATGAGTAACGTCATCACCGTCCCGCAGTCGGACATCTGAAATATTTTACATCATTCACAGTTCTAGAATGCCCTTTATTTGAACTTCGTATTGTTCCCGAAGCATCACGTGGTCGTGCGTCTCACTTAGCTATTATCCATGCACTTAGTGATGCGAGCAAAATATCGTCTCTTTTACGTTAGCCTACGAATACAGACGTATTTCCGGTCGTCGCAGGCTTCTCTCCACCCGAAAAGTAACGTCTGCGAAACCGAGTCGCCAAACGATTTCTGTTTCGTAAACCTTTTGTTATGTTGTTGACCAATCTGAATAGAGGATAAAAGCGAAGCTCGAGTTACTCCTTGCGCCATCGCGAGCTGGCGTGTCTAGGATTTTGAAAAGATTTTTCAAATAACCTTTGGATCGGGATTTTCCAATTTCCAGATTACAAGCAAGATTTCCGGCAATGTTGAATGCCGCTTTCTCTGTTGAACTGATTATCTGAAGCTATCGATAAGATTTGTGTTATTTGTTGTTTCGCCAAATAAAATAGTTCGTGACACAAGCAAAATAACAGAAAATGATCGCTACAGCAAGGAAAAATGGTATGACATCGCGCTCAGACTTTCCGAGAGTCTGAGCGCCATGTCATGTTTTTTAAATGGCATTTACACTGTACTTAAGTTTAACCAAAGCTGACCGGAAGAGGTGGTGAATCGATAGCACGGGCACATCCTTGGTTGAGTCAAAAATCTATAACTTACAGCCAATCGTTAAAAATTTCAAAATCCTACAAGCAACACCATTTAAACCTGGGCCGCACCAAGCGTAAAATAACCTTTCAGTTTACAGGAAACCATTAACAATAACCATTAATAATTAGCTTTCAAAGATGAACGATAAGTGAAGACCTAAAGCGGCTAGCTCATGACAAACTGCCAAAAGTCCTCCAAACTTTCGTGCGAGGAACATAAAAGGAACAAAACAGCATAACCGAGGCATGAGGCGTCTATCTTTAAAACATTTATCGTTTCGAACGTGAACAAAACGCATCAAGGTGTGATACATCATGGACTCAAATAGATAAAAATATTCCTCTAATCTCTTCTTCAATATGAATCCGCTTGGTGGTTATTTAATCAATCGGTTCCAAAATCCTGGCAAATTAAGGGTCAATTAACTTTTGCAAACGCGCCGTCTAGGTGTTTCGACTTGTAAACATATCCACCACGCACGAATCTTGCGAGAAGATGAATTCTTTCGAGTTAGTTCTTAGTTTTTAACAGCTAAACTGAGATTGGCCTGAGCTTTTTAATTTTTTATAGTTTTATTGGAGTTCTAGCATTCAAATTTAATTGTCTTTTATACATGTAATTTTTACCTATTTCGCACATTATACTTAGTGAATATTCTTGTGGACCCAACTGGGAGAATTAATAAAATGTATTGTATTGTATTGCACAGAAATCGTTTGGTGGCTCGGGTTCGCAGACGTTACTTTTTGAGTGCAGAGAAGCGACGACCGAAAATACGTCTGCCTTCTCGGGCTATTTTTACGTCACCCTTCCTTGAAATTTGTCTGGCAACTCTTAACACTCGGCCCACAAACAAAACAGGACTAGCTGTTCCCAGGACGAGCATGTTTTCACCATAATAAAGATCATGAACTATCAATCATTTTCCTCACCGCGTAGATAGCAACGTTTGCCTGCTTACTGCTGTTTGGGGGTTGAAGAGGACGAATGTAAAAAGCTCTTCAAGTTTAACTAATGGATATCAAATGCTCTTTTTGGGGGTAGAAAATTACGAAAATGTTGGAGAAGAAAGATATCAATGACCAACGCATTATTCCTCTTCAACTCACAAGTCAGTGAGGTCAAATTGTGGCCTTTCCCGAAAAAAATTGGCTCAAAGGCGGGCCTGGATAATAAGTTGATGATCCCTTTGTCAACAACCACTGTTTTATGTTGATACGATATTTATTACATAACCACCTGACAATGAAATACCAGATGAGCTTTGATAGCAAAAAATAAAATAAAATAAAATAGAGATACGAGATTTCTCTTCTCGTGTTAAGAAATATTTTCCAACCGGCTAAGAGAAATTTCGTATCTCCGCGCGACCATGTAATACAGTCGAATCCCACTGAATTTTTGAACTCCCAAAATAAATTTGTGAGACAAACGATAATTCTCTCTATCATTGTATCTAAAGCGGTCAGAAACGTTGTTACTTTACCTAAGGGGGCGCAAACTACACCTGCATCTTTACTGTGCTCACAGTTTTGTTTTCCCCAGCCGCTCTGATGACACTCTGTTAATGATCTTTCGTTACCAGTACACCTTACGTCACCCATCCATATTGTTCCATTTCCTTGCCCAAAGATCGCAGACACGGATGCTTTTACAGCTCGACCATATCCAAGCTCCCTGCAAACCACGCTGGCGTCTGTGAGGTCCCACGAGTCATCGCACACAGTTCCCCAGGTTCCATTGTAAAACACCTCCACTCGGCCTTGCAGGATAGAATCTTTACCATCGACCAAACGGACATCTAGGAAATAGCACATTAGACTAATTTGCAAACGTCAAACCAACATCTAGTTTCTCCTCATAAGATCACGTTTTAATCGATCGTAAGGATTCCAAGGAATCGAAGAAGCCTGTTATCATTGTTGTCTTATGAGCGACCAAAACTACCAATTTTAGACCGACTACTTCGGTGTTGATTCGTGTGTTTGATATAAACGACCATCGCAGAGCCCCGATACATTTAAGACATACTGAACTTGGTTCTTTCAGCAGGTAGCATTTGAACAACGGTACCTGAATGTACGGCACGTTCTGCGCAACTCGATGACTTTTAGTGACACTGGGTAAGAGCCCCAGTATGTAGAACCCACATGGAAGGTGATGCCTATTTCCCTTTCGTAAAAGGTCTTTGCCTTTTTTAACGGTCGATGCCACCCACCATTGCTAACCAAGCCGTTAGTCACAATAGATGTAATATATTCCCTGGATTAAGTTACAAGAAAAGGAAAATAGTACGTTTTTTAATAGTGTTAGAGAGAACGACGCTGGAGCCCAAGCTGAATTTACGTTAAAAGTTATTGAAAGGGCTAGGGTCACAACAATACACTAATTATCAAAAAATAGTACTTATTACTTGAGCACAGGACACCTGCGTCTTCATTATGATCACAGTTTTCTATTCCCCAACCATTGTGAGAACACTCTGTTAATGATCTCTCACTACCAGTACAATTTATGTCATCCATCCATATTGTTCCATCTCCAGGTCCAAAAGCAGCGGATATGTACGCCTTTATAGCTCTTCCATATCCACGTTGGCGACAAACTACTTTGGCGTCATTAAGGTCCCAGTAGTCATCACACACTGTTCCCCAGGTTCCATTGTGAAACACTTCCACTCGGCCTCCTGAGATGGATCCACCATTGACCAAACGAACGACTACAAAATGACGAATTGACTTAAGTAAGTACAATGGCTCCATCCTAGGAAGACATTTATAGACTGAAAAACGCACTTCAGACGTGCGATCAATTTTGATTACATTATATTCTGAGCAGTCTACAGCTTTATTCATATAACCAGTTTTAAGCCGTCGAAAAACGTTTTTCATCTGTTTGGAAGGCTACAAACTAGGTGATGCATTTTATTTTGACGAAGTATGATGCATAATATCAGCTCGTCTTCGATTGACAGAATTTAAAAAACACTTTTTGGAGGTGCGAATTATGAAGTAAGCCAATATAATAAGTCAAACTTTTTACTAGTCAAATGTCTTGAATGAGTACTTCCATGATCTTATAGTTTATATGTTTTCAAGATGTTATATACTTTGCTTAAAACCTACCATCGTTTCCCCCTTCAACATGACGAAACAGAAAACCTGAAAAGAATAGAAGATGAAGCACAGGATTAGCTCAGGACTTGTAGAAGCTTGTAGACTACCGTACCGGGGGCTGAGAGTTACGGACCGGCTTAAATGTACTCTGGCTTTGCCGTGCAAACGGTTTGACATTTACGTGGTTCATATGGCATAGTGGAAATAGCGATCTTCTTTTCACTATCGTTATCTCCGTGGTAAATACATTGTGGGAGCTTGGCGTGAGATTTTAGAAGTGTACAAAGGGGGGTCTGGGGGTATATTAGCCTGCGCGCAGACGAAACTAAACTCTGGTTCGTCTGCGCGAAGGCTAAGGGTATACTCCCCCAGAAAATTTTTCAATTTACAGTGTCGGATATGCTTTACCCTGCGTTTTCCGCAGGACATTTTCCGGAAATAAATACGAAGGAAAAAGCTGTTAGGAGAGCAGGGAAGGGTACATTTTCTTCGTTTTACGCGCCAACATTAAATCCTTTCTTCTGATTGCTGCGGAGCGACCGAAGGGAGCGAGCAGCAACATATTCAGGATTTAAAGGAAATATATGAGGGGAGACGAATTCTCGAATTCATCACTTTTTACCACAATGCATTGCATTTAACCAGAGTGCATTGCGCCATTAACAACTCAAATAAAAACACGGGGAAGTTCGGTGGGTGAGAGAGTGCATCGTTCGCTGCTCAGACTTAGAGTTTTCTTTGTGACAAATTTTCTACAGCACGGTTAGAGGTCTCACCAAATTTTAAGACACGCAGGAGTCTTTCAGATGAGTACGATGGTTAACTTGGGGATTGGATTTCAATTCAAGAGCCTTTGACTCGTCCAGGTGTTAAACCGTGACGAGAAGATGAGCATTTGCTCTTCGACTCCGCAACACGGGGGATATACAAATTCCAGCTGGCTAGAAGGTGATGTGAAAGTGAGAAAATGTCATGCAATGCTATTCTTAAGAAACTGTATGAGCCGAAAATGGATGTGATTTGGACCATTCGCTTCAAAATAACAGCGGAAATCGAGATAACAAAACATATGTTTTGTGTCCTATTTTGCAGACGAGGACGTGTATCGGCGTTTTGAAAAGCATAATTATGTTCTTTCATTCATTCATTGCCTGGGAATATGCGTTTACATTGTATATTCACTGTTAATAGCTCGGTTAATGCGGCTGGCGATCATCTTGCCGGCGGAAGTTTCATGGAAAAGGAATAAGATGAAAGACTTTTCCCAACGACTTTGTAATCAGCCTCTGTGGTGTAGTGGTTAGGTGTAGTCGCGTCCAGTCGAAGGTGCCGGGTTCGAGTCCTACCGACTTAGTTATTCCTATTTTCTTTTTTTTTTCCGTTTTTTGTGTTGTTGTTTTCTATAAATATATAGCTAAATAACTGTTACTTAATAAAGTGCAACAAACAGCAAGAAAAGTATTGTGTTTCCAGAGAAAATATCGTGCACCGTATATTAAATATATGGATAAACAATCTGAATTTCTATTATTTCCTACAATTTACTGTGAGAAAACCAGAGTTGATAACCACTTGATCATTTTCTAAACAACGTTCCCACGAGTTCTTTCTATAGACTGATATTAATTATACATGTAAATAGGACATTCAATGTCATTTTCGATTCTTTTAATTCTCACTGCTTAACTAATGCCAGTATCAACAGAATGTGCCGCAGCATTACTATCTTTTAGATACCCTAGTATATAAATTATAAAGTACTTCAATGGTATTTAGCATGGAAAAAAAGAAACATCTCTTACCTGAAAATAGAAGTAAAATGATCGAAAAGATGATGTTATCGCGAGTTTTGTTGCTCCTTAGCATCGTTCTGGAGCTTGTCCTTAGCCGATCACCCATCACTCAGCATTACAAATTACGGCTGGGCGCCATAAACAACACGCTGCTTATACACAACTCTACTGCCCAGTTTGCTTCTATCTTGCTGAGCTGTGTGTGTGTGTGTGTTAATTTTTTGCTTATCATGATACGCCGAAAAAGATTTTCAGTTTTCGTTTTGTGTTTTTGAACAAAAAGAAATAAATGGTCACTGTGGTCATTGTGGATTGTAGCGTAGAGCTGAAAATGAAAAACGGTACGCCCGGCGGTGTGATATGAATGTGTTTGGTCATTTTCTTTAGGTGTGTGTGTTCCTCGAACTCAGCGAGCAATCCGTAGAAAGGCTGTTCCGGCCGAAAACAAGGACCATAAAATTAAAATGTAAAAAGGGAAGTGAACGTTTTTTTTTTTTGCAAGGTGATATTTGCTTCACAAAAGCGAAATATTTATGCCGTGCATTCGGCCTGTTTCAGCTCCAGTCTCCACTGATCATGATTATGCTGGTAATGATGAGAGCAAATATTTCAACATTATCATACATGTAAATAGTGAAAGAGTAAATGCTAAAAAAAATAAAAGTGTTGTTACCCCAAAAGATGAAGTGTTTTCCTTAAACGTTTTGTATAGATTGTTCCAAACTGAAATATGAAATTACGACTCTATTATTGTATGATTGTTGCTACTAAGGCGAAGATCACGCATGCGCCTTCTTTCCGTTAATTTGTTGTTCTGAATCCTTCCGTTACCAAATCTGTGCATTCAGCCCGATTCAGCTCCACTTGATGACGACGTCATGATTTTGAAGCAAAAGCAAAATTTGAACACAACAAACAAAGATTACTCGCTTAAATTTTCACAGTGCAAATCAAGAAGATGAATTTTCCAAACTGTAATTGCAACTGATACTACTCTACTGTACGTTAATTTTACCAGTGTTGATCAGTAAACGATTCTGGAAAGCTTTTCACTTACCCCCTCCCCCTTCCCTTTCTCACCCTCCAACGTTATCATTGCTTCTCGGTTAGTGCAAAATATTGGGTCAATAAGAGACGGGTAGGTGAGTAGTCTCCCAGACCCTTAATTATGCAATCAATTTCTCTCGTAACGGACACCTAATTTGGTCCCTGGAACTGTCCACCATGGATATCATGACGATAGATACTAACTTATGATGGACGGTCGCAAAGGTGTTTATCTTCAGTAGCGTCGTGGCGATATTTGTGACGCTATTAAACCTATTGTGACCTCTATTGTCTTTCATTTGGAAGCATTCCATGTGGAATAACTAAAAAATACGCTTGTTTTGATATTTCTGGCTAATAATTCCTGAAGTCTCTGGCAGTGATGCGTGTCTTGGGTCTATATTTAAAAGTACATTCGAAAGAAAATTTGCACCGAGCCAACATTATGGTTGGTGCTACATATCTTTTGATACCAAAAAGAGCTTTTAAAAAATCATTGAAAGAAAAATAATTTTGAATCTAGTTTATTCAGTGTGCAAGTAAAAATCGGGGTAATTCTTTGTTTTAAAGTTTTCTTTCGTAGTAATGTAACAGGGCACCCAACGAAGGTTTCCTTTAAAATACGATGAAAACACTTTTTAGGCTATCCAGGGTACTTTTATATCTCTAGAAATACATTCTAAGCGGCGCCACAAAATTCTATCTGTTCGGTCATCCTTGAGGAACTTAAGCATTTTCAAAATTAAAAGGGCTTCAGTATTATTTTCCAAAAATTTAAGGTGCAATTCAACGTTTTGCGAGAGTGATAATTTTTTTATTCCTCTCCCTATCATATTGTAGAATCCGAAAATTTTAGGTTTCCCTTATCTAAGAAAAATAGTGTTTCATGGGTAGTAAAATATGAAAATTAAATTTCAGAAAATCGCGGGAATTTATTACATATTGTTAAGCTTTGAAAATTGTACATGAATGGAACGTTCACCTAGAAACTTTTAGCCGTCCACAAGCAAAAGAAAATTCTAGGCAATATTTACTTCTCCAAACGGATGTTTTACAGAAAATAGTCTGTTGGGTGCCCCTGAAGTAAGGTCACGTAAATAACGACTAGGCAACAATACTAATAAAAAAGCAATTTATTTTCTAGAATGTTCGCGTGACCAAGTGTGCAATTTATGGATCAAGGCTAAAGGTGAACAGGCTAAAATATTTACATAATATACTATGTTCATTGAGTTCCGCTTCGCTCGCTCGATGGACTGAATAAAATACCGCCTGCTCTAAAGTGCAGGCTAGAAGCAGTGGAAAGTTAATTACGATGAGAGAAATCTATGAAATCAACCGCTTTAATTCTGGGGTAAGTATATTACCCTTTCCAATTTGGATCCGTTCGTATATTGGTGATTTGTTAATTCATGTCGTGTTGCTTTCAGTGGTACGTCTATCTCGGTCCTCAGTGCTCAAACCTAAACAGCGATCAAGTCTTGCAGTGATCTCTGCGAAGTAGTTGAATTTTAAATCTTGAATCCACCCGTTGAAGATGCTCTTAGTCTGTGAAGTTTTGCTGCTTTTTCAAGCTTCGAATTTGTTGTTGGTAACTTCGGATCATCCAGGTAGGAAAGAAAATTCTTAGTTCGCTCGCTCGAATATAGTTTTAAAGAGTTTATAAATTGTAAAATTGTTAAGAAACCAGGACATTATAAGATATTCTATTATCTAGTTCACTAATTTGTCAAATATAGTTAAATGAGCACGCAAGAGAAGAATTCTAAAAGTGTAAGTGTCAGAACGAAGATTCTAGGTTCTGAAAGAGTTGTCAAGCAGTCGCCATATCGCCCCATGTAAGGTAATCCGGAATCCGGAATCCAGGTAATTTTGGTCTGTGGAATCCGGAATCCACGGCTTTGGAATCCGGAATCCAGCCAATGGAATCCGGAATCCAAGCATTGTAATCCAGAATCCAGGTTGCTGGAATCCACTCTGTTGTGATGGTTCCAGGGCCTCTTCTTTTCCTTTAGCGACTTCTCATGTCGCAAGGACACGCAACAGGCATGTTCACGCGTGTTTCACTCGACTGTTCCTATTGGTTTGGGCCACTGACTGCGATCCCAAGCAAAAGAGCTTTATGAATTCCATGCTAGCAGACAGGGCGAAGTACCCCTACCAAGTCCCTATTCGTGACTGCCCACACAACATCAAGTCAGTACGTTCTGCAGAGTTTTGGCATTGGATTGACATTGATGGATACCTAGTGAATGTAAGGCTGCTTTTGGTGCTACGTAGAGAATACGAAGACATCAAAGCAGTTCGAAACAAAGATCGGATGGATGTAGAAACAGCAGTGGAGATTCACCGGAAAGCGATTCAAGATTCCATTCCAGATGAAAGAGTGAGCACAACATTAGTTCCAGAACTGGAATTCAAGCACTGGAAAAAGAACGGGGCCTCTCTTTTAAGCTACCCGGTAGGATTGGCATTCTCCCCAAAGCATAGCAGGCTGTTTATTACCGATAGACGTCTCCATGCAGTCCTCATGGTTGACATGCACTGTCCAGCAAATGTCACATTAATCGCTGGTGGTGGTGATCCCAGGCACACTAATGGATATGGCAACAAGGCCAGATTTAGAAACTCCAGCTGGTATTGCGGTGAAAGAGAGCGGGAAGCTGTACGTTTGTGACCAAGGAAACGGAAGAGTTAGAGTAGTCAATTTGCGAACGCTTTTCTGTCACGCTTCCCAGATTGTACAAGGGAGCGCCGAAGAAAGCCAGAGTGAGGAAGAAGATTCACAGCATGAAAAATCAAATTTACGTGAGCGTAATGACAGCGTAAAGTCAGCGTATAGTTGAATTTTACACAACTTTACGCTTCCTTTACTCTACGTAAAGTTCAGCTTTACAGCACCTTTACGCGTACATATAAAGCTGGCGTAATGAAACAAAAACTTTACGCAACACCTTTACGTTTTGCGTAAAGCTTGTGTAAACCCTACTTTAAGCTTGTGTAAAGCGAAAATACAAGCTCCTTTACGCCAAATATATATATACACATAAACACACTGGAAACTTTAAAAATACCGGTAAATATAATGGTAATCGGTAAATTTTTCTTACCAAACTTTTAACAATCAAAATTTTATTTTTGTCTATGTCACACAAACATTGGATTTTTGTTGTGTACTTAATACCGGTTATTTTCTTTGGTTCCCCATCATCTCTCCATAGTATTTACAATCTGGAGCCATGGAGGATTACTCATATATACATTACAAATAATTGTATGAGTAATCCTCAATTCAAGTTTCGACACAAAATAAAATACCCTAATATGTAACAACACTTCAACACACAGTTAAAGGATTAGGCCAGAAATTTTGTTTTTATTCTTCAAAACTGACAACAAAAACGAAAAGTTATAAAGCGTTGAGAACCCAATAGACCTATAGAAAAATAAGAACCCAACTTCAAACTGACATTAGTCATCCCTACTATTAAGTTATAACTTGCTTTAATGGAGTTATATTGTTTAACCAGTAGATGAACTTTGAATAAGTAGTAGTTTAAAAAATAGGGCCCCTTTCCGTTTCCAATTTTGCATTACCATAACCAATTTTCAAATTGCCCATCTTTATTTTTACATTTCAAATCCTATGAAAATCGCCAGGTATGCTACATTGTTGTAACTGCAAAAGCTGCAAATACGAATCGCATTCTTTAAGTTTAGTCCAGCAAAGAGTGATATTACAAGGTTTTAAAAAACAAAACACACTGATTCTCTAAAACTGAATTTTCTAAATATAGCATGATTTATTTCTGTGTTAGCATCTTTGTCATTACATTAAAAATAAAAAAAAAACGAAAATTTTTCCAACACGTAAGGTTTAAATAAGAAGACTGTTTTGACCCATTTGAAAAGTACATAAACTTTTCAAATGGGTCAAAACAGTCTTCTCAAAATATCCAAAAAAAATCATCTTAACTTAGTATTATACCAAATTAAGATGATTTATAGTTTAAAATAATTATTAGCATTTACATGTAAGGTACAGGGTGTACAAGAAAACTGATGAAGTTAAATTTTGATAAAAAACAGCAACTCTAACACGCAAATTAATGTAAAGGTGGGTCAAAATGGTCTCTTCCAAAATGAAAATATTTAGTATAATTTGGCATAATTCAAATTAAAAGCTTAAACAATTTTAGATAAGAAATAAAAAGACTGAAAGCCTAATACATGTATAACATTGATGGTTTCTTGATTTAGCCCTTTCACTTTTACAGTCAAACTTAACAACAAAATCCAAATAACAAATCATTTTCATAAACTGATGATGTAAAAGTTAGATGCACAAGGCTGTCACTAAGATTGCAAGTTGCAGGGTTTAAGTGAAATTAGTGAGCGGGACATTGAAAATGTGGAAAGTTTCGTTTCCTCTCAAAACATCCAAGTATTGGGCTCAAAGTAGCCGATTTAAAGTCTGGTTTATGGCCCTTAGTGACAGCCCTGGAACCACTTTACAAGACTAAGGCTTGTAATTAACATGTATTAATCCTGTTTGCTTTGAGAGGACTTTCTGTCACCAACATCCCATACCAGGCTGATCTGCTGAATAAATAGAAAGCAAGTATTATTTGAGTAAACTACACAGATTATTTGTAGGCTAGTGATAATACACTTAATCGCGCACTAAAGGCACAAGTACATGTACAGTAAGGGGGTGTTTACATGAGAAAACTCACACCGGCGCGAGTCTCATACCAGGATGACTTTTTGATTTTGTATCGGGTTTACATTATGACTGAGTCATTTCATATCTCGTTATTTGAAGGTACACTTTATGTTGATAAAATACAAGTGTGATACAAAATAGCAAACATTACGCGTGCGCTACCCATTCCAGTCTACCGGCAGACCGATTTCATGCCGAAACGGGTGGTCGTTTCGCATTTACATGATACTGCCATGAGATTTTGTACCAGAGTGAAATTCTCGCCCCGGTACAAGAACCGGGGTGAACTCACGCTGGGGTGACTCGCGCCTGCATGACATTTTGTGGTGGTATCATGTAAACAAATATAGAGCTATGAGAGGGAACCGGAGTGAACTCGCTCCGGGGCAAAAGTTGCCCCGGTATCATGTAAACACCCCCTAAGTTGCCAGAGGACACCGCCTGCTATTACTAATTAATAATATTTTTTCCCACACTCATGGCCAAATTACTACAATCAGCACAATTTTACTTGACACAGGGTTCCCCACATGCCTCTTTTCACAAACCAAGACTAAAAATTTGAAAAGAATGATAAGGCATTTTCCACAAGTGGTCTAATAACAGTGCAAAACCTGAGTAGCAAATGATTTCAATGTCCACAAATTCACACAACTGAATAAGATTCATCTGACTGTTAAAGATTCAAAATGTTTGACTAGTATGAGTTAAAGGCTTTCCTTAAAGGCAATAATATTTACATTCAGAACCCTACTTGCAGTTGAGTGAAAATCAGGGTAAAATGCTACATGGAAACCCTATAATAATAATAATAATAATAATAATAGTAATGAACTTTATTAAAGTCTCATGTCTTATAACACAGGCACAGTGCCTTACTAGTTGGGGAGACTGAAGCATATATATATGTTAAATTTATCAACAATGGTTTATTATATTATTAGAGTTCAATGTTTTACAATGTATATCTTTTTTTATTTTAATGTATGCATTTTTATAAAAGTATCATCCATTAATATCGTTGTAAAGTGCTATGAAAAACCACTGGATGTACATTATTATTATTATTAGAGAGTAAGCAGTGTGCAAAGAAAGTAGTGTCCGATACTCCGGGGCTAGTGGATTTTGCTATCGAGCTAGTGAATTTTGAACTTAACTTGCCCGATGGGCAAGTGAAGTTTTTTTGAGGAATTCAAATTAACGAAGAACTGTGAAATCGATTCTGCTCATCAAAACGGTTTGGGGGCTAGTTGAAATGACATTTGGGCTACTATATGCTAGCTTCAGCTTGCCCGAATGGCAAGCTTTAAAAATCACCTTCTTTGCACCCTGGTAAGAGAGAAATTTTCCTATCCACTTGTCCTTCACACAAGCAATACATTAAATTTGGTTGTCCGAAACCTAGAGTTCTTGTCCAAAAAGTTTAGCTTGCAACGGGCATTTAATGTTTTTAATCACATTATTTAATCACATTATTACCCTTGTATATTATTTTTGAATTAAACCTACAACAGAGCTTGTAAAAAAGCAAATGGATGAAACGACTGGCAGTGGAATGGCAAAGTTAAATGGAATATTGTTTCTTATCTTTATTTTTCTAATTAACAATGTGCTTGTCCCACGGACAAGTCATATCAAAGGTTTACATGTTCGAACTAAATTTCTACCTGTCCCGGACTAAAGTTCCAAATCAATAAACATCCCTAGCCTTCTCATGAGCTCCACCAAAGACTTTCAAGGAAAATATAGAAACATATAAGCACCTTATTCCCAAAAGTTTCAAATTTTCCTGAAACTTTACCTAATATATTTTTTTCCTTTTTAATACGAAACGTTCAAGGTTCCTAGTTAATGTAACAGGAGTGAAGCCACTTTGCTATTTAAAGCCCTTATCCTCAATCTTCAAAACAATGCCTCCTAATAATAATGTACAGTGTACCCTGTAAATAAAGCAGCCTATTTTCTTTCCTTGCCACCAGGGACATTTCACAAGAGAGACAGTTGTATTTGCAGATTAATAATGGTGTATGTAGACAAGAGAATCCAAAACAGCTATGACTGCTATGACTCTCTTAACAGTCCTATCTTTCACAACTTGTTTCTTTAAATTTTATTTTCCTTTAAACCTAGATTTACTGACAATACAACTATGGTGCAGATAGAACAATTTCTGGTTTCTAACATGACTGTGTGCTTTGCTTCCCAAAAAGTAAGGCATTCAATTTCCTGACAGTATGTGCTGCACTATATTCTCTCAAGAACCACAATATAATTTCATAGGAGCAGTGCACAATGAAGATTAAAATTAATGGTAATATATGAAATGAATCATACTTTGAACTGCAGATGAAGGTATGAAACTGTGAAGATGTTAACAACTATGTTGGCACTTACATGAAAATACATTCTAATTCAATCATGGTCTGCATTAGCTATGCATTGAAAGACTCATGAAAATGTCTATTCATTCTCTGTTCATTTAAGTTAAAACCCACGTAATTTAAAATCAAAAATAAACTTTTGTATCTGCTTCAAAAAATACATGCATGCTGTTAAATTATTCACCACTTATGACGCTATGACTGCCCGGGGAATTGGGAAGCTTGGGTTTGTTACTGACTGACGCATGAAAATATAGAACCAGACTACGTAGATTATCTTTGCCTACTTGCAAATTCAACACTTGTTAACACTTTTCTATTCTGTTTATTAGTTCTTCTATAGTCTGTGAAAATTTTCATAAGAATGTTTGTATCACATTACATGTAAGCTTACTTTATACAGATGTCCTTTCTTAATTCCATTATTTTCTTTTAGTAATTCCCAGTACCAGTGACCAAACTCCTATTTTCCAGTACAAAACAAGGAAATTCTACTCCTTCAGACCCCCAAAGTCCTTACATGATTTTACATTATCATCTTCAACGTCATGGTCTCGTTGCTTGCTTAGTATTGAAAGGTTATGCCAAATAAATACACATGTTTAGTTATAATTTACTTTAAACGGTTAATGCTGGTTTCATTGCTCACTGAAATGTTAGTTACTGAGTACTTGAGACAGTCATTCGAACTCGTCATAAACAAGTTGGAATTAAGCTTAAAAAGTTAGAGAAAAGGCGAGCCAGGACAACTTACCTTGCCTTACTATCTGCTCTTTTCAGCGAGATCTTGAGTATCGAAGAGCCTTAGTAATACGTGTAATACAGTCTTGGTCTGTGTTGTGAACATTCCAGTGTTAATGCTTGTGCTTCACACGATGTTTCTGTCTCCATTTCTGACTGCGTATCTCGTCCCGAAAGGGTTGCTGCACACTTGAGAAGTGATCGATTACTAAAGGCTGATAGTGCCATTATAAATTGTAACAACCTTAAGATGTCCTGTGATGCTATCAAGAAGCATAATATATGAACGATCTCCAACCTTTCAAAGAAGCAAGTTTGAAACCGTTGGACACTTTCAAAATGGACGCCAAATCAACGAACCTGATTGAGCATGTGAAAAGGAACAAGCCCGCTGACCAGGTGTCCCTTCACTCTATTGTTTCCAGGCCCCTTTCTTTTAACAAATTGTCCGTTCCCAAACGATGAAGCCAGTACTCCGTTGAATGTAAAATGGTCACAGTAATTTTCTGAATGCGTTCTTTCTTTAAGTAAGACTCGCCGTTTTTGCGAGGCGATATTTTTTCTTTATTTTCCAATTATTTCAATTTGATCAAACTACAGTTGAAACTCTCTACAACGGCCACCTTAGGGACATCATATCGAAGAAAGTGGCCATAGTAGAGAGGTTGAAAGAAGAGTAAATGTATGTCATGTATGGACCGTCCGCCGAAAAAAAAAAACAACAAAACAAAAATGGCCCGTGTAGAGAGGTGACCGTTAAGGAAGAAACACCTTATACTGACTGAAATCAATGAGGGAATACTACTGAGTATTGAAGGCTATTGTGTTTGCCGCGACAGATATGCCGTTTTTCGAAAATTGCCGCACAGTCGCAAGCTATATCTTTGCATGAACTCTGCCAGCAGAATTTTCTTTTCAGCGTCATTTTTAAGCGTGTACGAAGTCGTTCGCACCACCAAAAAAAATTTGCGTGGTTGGCTTGTTTACATCGCACACCAACATCGAACACCAAATGAGTGATCAAAAAAACTATGCGAACTAGTATCAGGACACAAACGACTTACTAAAAACAGTGCCGGGAATAAATTGCTGTTAGGAATTAAGCTAGCATTATATGACAAGCTTACTAAACCTTTACTTGTAGCGTAAATGAGCGTAAAGCTGTTACAACAACTTTATGCTAGCTTTACGAAACCTTTAAGAGCCGAGCGCGTAAATTTACCTTTACAAACCTTTACGCGCCGTGGAAAGTTTGCGTAAAGTTGGATGACCAACTTTACGCAGGTTTACGCAAACTTTAATTTTGCGTAAATCTCCATTTTCATGCTGTGATTGCGCCGGTAGACGTATCCGTAAAGTCCATGTACACGATCATTCCCTTATTTCTGAAGGTAATGTACCGAATCTGGTGTCACCATTTGCCATATGTGCGTGTGCAAAGGGTAGCGTTGAACTGTTTGTGTCAGACGTTGGTCTTGGCAAGATTTTTTCAATTTCTGGTGTTGTAGACGATGAGGAAACTAACTGCGTCGGCCAGTCAAATGAATTGTTTTGTTTTGATCGATCTAGTCTATTAACTTCATTAGCCTTAACACGTGACGAGCAATACTTGTTAGTTGGAGACGGGAATGGTTCATGTATTCATCTTTGTCAAGTGAGAGGACGATTGAAACTGAGAACAATTTCGAATATTCCAGGCCTCATGGGTATTGCAGTGACAGATGGTGGAACCGTGTTCTTGTCCTCCAGCAAAGAACACGCACTGTTCAGTTTGAAGGTAGAAGAGATGCTTGGGGGTAACGAAACCCTAACAAAAGTGTGTGGAGAAACTGCAGGCCATCGTGATGGTGTCCAAAGTTGATGGAACAAGCCTACTGCTTTATGCGTATATATGTTTTCGTATGCGGTACCGGTAACGTAGCAATAAGAATGTTGACGTCAGCAAAGGGACTGATCCCCCTGCAAAGTAAGATGGCCCAATATGCAAACGTGTTCCGACTCGAGAAGAAAGCCAAAGAATAGAAAGAAAGCCTGCGTAGCTTGTGGTATAGTAATTGGACTATCTTCACGCTATTTGTTGGTAAGCTGTAACTGAAGTTTTACATTTCTGTGTGGCAATTAAACAATTCGGAGACGAATTATGTTTGAACCTGAAAAGCACTGATTTTGGCAATGTGTACCTCTTTTGTTATTGTTGACGCCGTTGTTATTATTAAAATAAGAATAGCCCTTCCTCGTTAGTATTTCTTCAACGATGTGGACTCAGTGGACTTCAGAAACCGCTCCTATATTCATAATCCTCTCGGTTAAGGCCAAGAATTATATTTTATACTTATATTTTATATAAGACAATGTACACTTCGGGTAAAAAAAGAACAAGCTTTTTTGGTGAAAACAAAGTACAAAGGAAACGTTGAAAACCAGAAAATAGAATTTTGAAATCTGGAATCCAGCCACTTATGGAATCCGGAATCCACGGATGTGGAATCCGGAATCCACAGGCATGGAATCCGGAATCCACAGCGTGGAATCCGGAATCCAAGACTCTCTTGGATTACCTTACATGGGGCGAGCCATATTTTCTCACATGAGGCTGATAGCGAGAGGACTGGACGCAAGTTAAGTGCCAGAAAAAGTGATGAGGGATGGGGGGGCGGGGAGTAAGGGGGAGTGATTGATGAGAGGTAGAATATCGCACAAAAATGAAGAGGCCACAATTGCAGCACCTTTAAACTTTCTTCAGAGGAATCAATTCAGCGTTGTCGGATATTCGTAGACGCTCGTTCACTTATTTTGGAAAGGTGAATAGTGTTATCCGCTGGATAAATCACACTGGATTGCGCAATTTTTATTGGTTTCCGTAACACTTATCTGTTGGATAGCGATTTATCCGATGGATAGCGCTATCCACCGGATAAATCACTATCCAGCGGATAAGTACTGTACCGTAAAATCCCACGTCACAGTTAAAGCCCTGGGCTTATATAACTTCATAAGGGGTTTTGGGTGGGCTTATAAACGGCGGGGTGTGGGCGGGAGGGGGGCTTAAAACCGGGGCGGCTTTACCGAGGGATTGTATGGTATCAGGGAAACTAATTTCAAAATGACTATTCACTGGATAGAGATTTATCCGGTGGATAGCAACAACCGAGACCTGTTCTCCCATTCCCCAATAGTATCAACCACGAATTTGAACATTCTTGACAACATTTTTCTTTAGAAACTAACCCCTTCATTCATCTTTTTTCGTGTTTTAGTTTGTATAGCTCCTTAAATGATCATAAAAATCCAATTGGAGTAAGTAACTTGATCAGACCATACTGAGGTTCCAGTGAGAGATTTCGATCCAAATGCAATGAAGTCTGAATGTGACCTCAGTCTCGGGATTCTCTACCTAAGAATTAGACGCACGCGCGTTGAGATAAGTTTATGGAACTCAAACAGTTAATTCATCATTTTCACATAGACCATAATGGATCTTTTTTACCCCCCGAAATTTTGCATAACCATTGTCTTCGATTTCTCTTGATGGGACCACTGTTATCACCATCATCGTCAACTGCCATCTACTAGTAGTAGGTCGGCTATCATGGATCTCCAGCTGTTCCGATCATCCGCTCTTCTTACACATCCATTATAGGTGTGTCCTAACCATTCTTTGATGTTTGTCATCCAGGTAACTCTTAGTCGCCCCCGTCCTCTCTTCCCTTCAATTTTGCCTTCCAGTAACTGTTATACCCAGGCTAAATTGGAAACAATGGTTATGCTAAATTTTGGGGGGTAAACAAGGTGTATTATGGTCCATGTGAAAGCAGTGAATCAGTTGAAAAGATATTAAAATTCAATTTGATATGATGATATATTTCCAGTATAGTGTTATAGATGGTTGTTAGGTTGATCAGGTAGGGCGATATAAAACATATTGTACCATTTTCATGTTTTCTTTCCTAACTGGTTTGCAGAGGAATGGTCGAGTTGGAGCACTTGTTCTAAGTCATGCGATGAAGGAATTAGAATGAGACACAGAACTTGTGAGCACTGTAATACAACTTTGCAAACACAAAGCTGCAAGAATCAACCATGTCCGGGTATGTAGACGTGACAGGGTTTCTAAACATGGCTTGCGCTGGTCAGCGAAACAATTCACCGTAACGATTAACAAATAAATGGCCTTAAGCAATGGCATTTTTGAGTGACGAAGGTCAACCGTAAGTGCGTTATGCATAATTGAGCAGTCGTTTTACCCAAATTTCGGACACTGAATTGTAGCTATAAGAGTGAAGACACTTCTTCACACAAATTTGGTAGCGTCAAGACTTTTAAAAAGGAAAACGCCTCACTACCAGTTGACGGACGCCCCTCAACGGCTCTCTGGCCCGTAATTTCCTTGGTCTCTCTATTTCTACCAATGCAAGCTATTTAAGCAATAGACCACACTTTCTATGGGTTTACCGGCGTGATAACCAACGTAGGATGTTGGGAGAACACGAGAAAAGCTTGTAAACCACGAGCCGAAGGCACAAGAGGGTTATCACGCTGGACTGGCGCTTTAAAGGGCAACTTTAATTCGCTCACCCATTTTCTTGTCCTGTCTCTTCCTTGAATGTTGATAATGTCAGGACGCTTCTCTTATGTATTTTCTTCCTTTACTAGATATTCAAACTCAGATTATTGTGATCGTCGTAGTCACAATTGTATTCATCTCCATCTTAACAGCCGTTCTTGTGGCTATCTTTTTTGTCAAAGGAACACATTCCGGAAAACCAAGAGCCAGGTTAGTTCAATTCGCATCAAGTTAGAACAAATAGCACTTAACTGATGCGGTGGGAGATAAGCTACTTGTTATTCTAAATAACTGGGCCAGGGGTGAATACAGTTTTGGAATCGAATTCTGTTTTGAAAACATTTGAGAATTAATCAAGGCCCCAAAATTTTGGTGCTGGTGGTGGTGGTAAAAAAGCATTATGATTCATGCTTGTCAACCACAATGGAAGTCACAAGTACTATAATGAGACATACATTTGATGTAAAGGAAGACTTCTGGCGCGAAACACTTTTGCTGGTCTTCAGGAGTTTATATTGACTCCCTCCCTTCCCTTCCCTTCCCCTCCCCTCCCTCACGCAACCATGGTGCTAAAGATGAACCCTTATCAAAACTGTGTAAATTGGGTTTTTGAGAATTTCATGTTCTTTGTGAGCGACCATTCTTCTAGCAAACTCTGCGTTGACACCGGCCTTTTTCTCAAATCTAATCGTGCTTAGCTCTTTTCAATGAGACACTACTAGTACCGTGATTTTTCACAAACTGAAAATGTTTGCGGGTACAAGGTTGAATTAGACACAAAAACCAAACAACGTACAACACAAAAAAAACTTTAGATGGAGGGCAAGTGGCCGTGCAGAGTAAAGAGAAAACAAGACTGAATGTATTCGTCGAGACAAACGAAATCTGCAAGGCGTCTAAACTTGTCAACGTCCATGGAAATGTGCAAACTTCTTTAAAAATATTTTGCGCTGCGTTTTTCACTGATTGCCTCCCTTTTTTCTGACAGCTCTGTCGACTCAAGCAGGAGACTACGAACCATAACTCTCGAAAAGGTTCCAAGGGGAATCAACGTAGAACACAGAGGGTTTCTATTACAGCGCTTGATAGAGAGCAGAGGTTCACTTCAGACTAGTAAAACTACGTTGAAGGACTATGGAGAATCTAAACTATGATCCATCTTGCAGTTGGCAGTGATTAGTTAAGGTCACCCAACAGCAGAGAACTGAGGAAGATTTTTTAATAGCCCACGTTCGATATAGTAAAATTCTGAACATGACTCCGAGGCTTTCTGGTCATTTTTCTATATTTAGTTTGGTTTTCTTTGTGCTCAAGTCTCAGCTGGGAACTGCGAGACAATGGAGTCGTTTTGAACATAAAGCCTCGGAGTGGGAGTCATATTAGAATTTTAATATATCGAACGTGTGCTATTATGAAGTAATTCCGCTACTTAGTACCGGACAATAGAGGGACAGAGTAATCGAGGGTCTGCATTTCTGCCTGTGTCCTAGCCCCTCACTCAGAAGTTCCTAGGGCTTCGTCAAGCGTTCCTTTCCTACGAACTTTCCTGGGGAAGGAAAGCGTGATGAAGCCCATAGAACCGCTGCGTGGGAGGATCCCAAGGGAGTTCTCTGGATTTCAAGTGATGGGGATGATCGAAGGATTTTTTTTGTGTTTGAAATTTTCCATTCCAGGATTTTTTGGTGAGGAAAATTTGGCGAGTAGTTTTTTGGGTGGCTTGATTTAAGTGGGGATTTTTGGGGGGATTTTTTTGCCCCAGTTGCTCGAACGCCGGTTAGCGCTAACCCAGGGTTAAATTTTAACCGGGTTTCTTTTTCTTTTTTTTATCAAAAGCACTCTCTTGGATAATTTCCTCTTTTCTTTTTAGAGAATCCAGTCATCAAATTGTAGGCAAAGAGAATTTAACTGAATTTGCTTTTTACGCTCTCATATCTGAGTTCAAATTTCGCACTAACCCTGGGTCACCTTAACCCAGCTTCTAACAACTCGGCCCTGAAGACTCGTGGTGGTACCCGCGTTTCCCAGCCGCAAACACAACCATTCAATCTGTAATTTATTTTTCATGTTATATTATTTAATACTGTCTAAAAAAAATGGGGGGTTAATTATCGGTTCAGGGATTTCTTCGGGGTTTTGGTTTTTGCCCCCATTCGATCATCACCGTCACTTGAAATCTGGAGCCCAACTGGCTACCCATGTCCTGGATTGAAAGCAGATGCATGCTTTGTGGCAATAATTTCGTGAAAATTTTGAAGTTTATTAAGCTAGGGATTGTGGGTTAAAGCCCTCTACGAATTTTATAGGATTTCAGTCACCAGTGGCTCAAAGCGATGCTGTGGATAAAGTAAGCGAAAATAGCACTAATTTACAAATTGAAAAAGTTTTTGTTAACACTGGTGTCTTTGAATAAAATGTGTCTCTTGCTTGTGAAAAAAAATAAATAAATAAAAAATGTGATTGTTACACGCGTTATGTGCGCTGAAATGCTTGGAAATAGCGACGTGCGCGCGACCTACACGTAAAGTAGTTATCGAAAATATACTGGGCTGAGTTGTTCAAAAGTGGGTAAGAAACCCTGGGGTACTGGGTACTAGTTATTCATACTTTCAGTCCCAGTCTTGGCGGGGGACGCCTGACTGATTTCAACATCTGCAATGTCAAGCAAACAATTTCCCTCGCAAAAGTGCGGGTCTTAGAAAATCTTTAAAGGATTGTAATGCAAGATGTTTTTAATGGTGTCCATTAAGACATCGAAATACCCTCAAAGTGTACTGGAATTTGACCACATGGTGAAGACTTGACTTTCGTTCCAATCGCCGTCCTGCCAACTGCTAATTAAAGAGAAGGTGAAAGAGACCACTGAGTCGCATCCTCTACTGCATATTTTACTACATGCACTATCCTTCTAGCGGAAGGGAAGGCTAGCAAAAGATATGTAAGTAACATTTTCAAAGAGAATTTAGAAAGCTTGTCCATTTATAAACTGGCATTATATACCATTAGTTTTTCATTTTTTTGTATGGACGTTACGCTTTTCTAGAAAGCAATACTGCCATTTTTTAGACAGTAGTATCTATTTGCTTTTTTTATGTATCTAACTGTAATTTAAAATCGGTCAGTGTAAAATGCAGGCTGTGAACCCAGAACTGTCAACCAGGGGTAAAATGCAGACTGAGGATAAACTGCAAACTGCTGACTGAGTAGCCTGAGAAAACAGCCAACATTTTGCGGCTCCACCACTGGATCCCTCGTGAAATGATGTCTGAAAAATGAGCACAGAAATTCCATGCTGATGACACTTCACTTCCCAGATCTGGGAAGTGCGTCTGATTGGTGAAGGCACATTTTTAGCCAATCAGGTGCTCTACCCAGATCTGGGAAGTGTCACGTCATCAGTATGGAATTTCTGAGCTTGTTTCTCAGATGTCATTTCATGGGCAAGCCAGTGGTGGCATCTCAAAATTTTGGACTGTCTTCTCAGGTTACAGACTGAGAGTATAAAGAGAAAAAGGACTGCTAGAAATTTGCGCTTAGAATGCAGACCAAGCCTCAAATGTACTTGCAGAGGGGATTTTCATAGTTTTGAGTTATGATGTTCTATGAAGGTTCTGAACTACAGGAGATAAAAGATTCAGTGACCAAATGTGCAAATAAACTTTGATCTCCAAGCAAGCACCTTTGAGTTCATGTAAAAGATGGCAACTGGACTGGGTGAATAACTGATGTCAACCTTTATATTTCTCCTGTTTTGCCACATTGTAGTCTTGATTCTTCAATCTTTATTTTAACCCCAGTCAGCAGTCCTCATTCTTCTTCTTTCAATTACCATCCTCGACAGAAAGACTGTTACAACTTTAGACTTTCTTATCCCTAGGATGCCCATCCCACAGATTAATGGCACAGCTGTCTGTTGAACTCGGGAAGTGCTGAACTTCCTGATGGCGTGCGCTTGTTCGACGACATGCCAGGACCTAAGGGATGGCCGTTCTTTGGTGACATATTCAGCTACTTTTATAAGGATTCTACCTTTAAACAACAGGTAGCTCTGCTTAAAAGCAACTTTGCGAAGTACGGACCGATATTCAAGAGGACCATTATGGGGAGGACTGTTGTTTCAATACAAAACCCCGAGGATGTGGAGATTGTAATAAAAGCTGATGGTAGATATCCGATGCGACCAAAACTGGTTTTTAAGGTAGATGAAGAATACTGCAAAAGTAGAGGAAGACCTAAGGCTATAGTTCTGCGGTAAGTTTAGAAAATATTGAAATACATGTGGGTCTAGTGCACCGACCAATTGGGAACTTTATGTTAAATCCTCGGCCTGAGTCCGGGCAAAATGGAACTTTTTAAGGCAGGCCTGTTCAAATTCTCATGAAAACTGTCAAAGGATTTGAGGATTTGCGTGACGACTCTAAAAACAGCTGTGTAGCAGACTTCTCTCTACAATGGGGCACCTTTTTAATAGTTATTGTGGGGAGTGTTGGTTCACTTCAGCGAAAAAATCTTGTAAACAGACTTATACCGAAAAACTATATTCTTGTGTGAAGGTATTATTCCTATTTGCTGGCTTAAAAAAGGAAAAAATCAGATCACGTAGTAAATTTCTTGCCTAAAGCTCCTCTTTTACTAAGCGATTTAAGGCTATGTACAACGGGTAGGGGGCTTTTGAGTCACCCCTGACTAAAAAGTAGGCTATGACCACCAAACTTAGCGACTTTTCCTAAAAATTATTAAGGAACATTTTAAAGTCGTCGTGGCGTGAACGTCAACTTTGACGTTACCAATGCAACCGAGTTTTGACAGCCATGTTTTCAAAATTTGCTTTTCTCCTATAAAAATGGATTTATTTATAGTTTTACTTATTCAATTACAGCTTTACACTTGATTTACAAATATTTTATCAAATTTAAGTTATAACTGTTACGGTAGTTTAATCGGTAGACTTTTAGTGACTGATTTGAGGAAAAAAAAACATGAATTAATCTGCCAAACGGCGGATGCTGGGTTTAATTTTTAACAATGTTAATTTCTCTCGGAATTTCACAACTTGCGGTTTTTGTTTTCTTAGTCACGTAAAACATCCTTTCATGTGATTGCTTTTAGGGAGGGAGTGGACTGGCACCGAATGCGTAAGGCTTTGGCATCCAAAATGCTGCGACCAAAAGACGTACCGGGGACAACATGGACAACTTTACCGCTGTAACTAGGGATGCTATAGAGCACATGGTGTCTATACGTGGAGCTGATATGGATATTCCAGATCTTAGTAAAGAACTCGCCCAGTGGGCAACCGAGTGTAAGTGCTTGGAAGCTGGGGTACTAATACAGCTGCCCGATCAGCTCAACTGGATAAGCGCCGCTCTGCCGAGAAGGAGGTCGCGGGTTCAAACTCCGGCCGGACCAACACTCAGGGTCTTAAAATAACTGAGGAGAATGCGCTGCCTTTGTTATGATATCGGCAAATGGTTAGACATTCTTGTCTTCTCTGACAAAGACGAAAAACCGTAGGCCCCGTCTCACAGCTCTCTCATTGTTCTTTGTCTTGTGGGACGTAAAAGAACCCACGCTGCTGTTCGTAAAGAGTAGGGGGCGTAGACCCCGGCGGTGTGGGACAACCTTTCATGGGCTGGGTGGGTAATGAAGGGGTTGATATCAGTTGGGACGCAAGTCCTGTTTCATCCCCTGTCACTGTGTTGAGACACCGTGACGAATTTCAATAAAGCAATAAAGTAATACAATAATCACACAAAGCATTAAAGTTTTGTAGTTAACCCTCCACAAAGCGACCACCTATTAGGTGGCCACCCTCTTTTTAGCGGCCAGTGAATGAAAGTCCCCCAAAATTGTAGAAAAAACCTCCCTTTTGTGGCCACTTCCATCAAGCAGCCGCGTCCACTTTCCCGAAGAGAGTTCTCTTATCATTGTCTTCTCTATGGGCGAATCTTAGTTTTTGCCTCATTGACATATTCTCATCATTATCTGCTGAAGCTGATAAAATTAAACCTCTGAACATTGAAAGAGCATGACAATTGCAATCGGTTATCCTTAAAATTTAAGCTCGATATACTGAATGGTTTCGAAGAAATTCTCTTCTAAAAACTCAAAATTTTATAAAGAATGTATAGCTCTTTACCTTTTTTGCTACCCAGCAATTTCCCAGTTTTCGATTTTCTTCAAAATTGCTTGCAAAGAGCTGAAAATTGTGCAAATTGCTCCAGGTAATCAGCTCTTTCAACTTTTGAATGTATTGTGATGCTTTCAAAATTACCAATTTCCGTGTTTCCTGTTTTAGCAGGTTTTGTCTAAAATTAATTACCAAACGGTGGTTTGAACCACTTGTTGTTGTTGACATAAGCTGAACTTTTTAGCCGTAGGTACTATGGCGTTTGACGTAAGAGTTGGACTGTATGATGACCCACCCGATAAAGACACAGTCAAATTTGTTCAAGCTACAGTCGATGCACTTGCACTCCAGGGAAAGTTGAGTAGAGGATGGGAAAGCCTGTTTTGGAAATTCTTCACGACGCCAACATACCGGAAATTCTGTGAAGCACGAGATACCTCATACGCCATGAGCCAAAAGATTGTGGACAACAAGGTTGCGGAATTAAAAAAAATGGCAGAAGAAGGAAGGGCGTTTGATGACAATCAAAGTGAGTGTAACTTTGATTTATTTACAAAGTTTTTAAGCAAAACAAAATATACAAAATCATGTAATTAATTCGAAATGGCAGATCTAAGACGGCCGATGATGTTAGTCCCTTTCTTTTATGAATGACGTCATCATGATGTCACTTCTATTGTTTAAGATTAGAGCGATTTTCGTATGACCTTGAAAAATGGTTTTGGTAAGTGTTCGTTATTTGTTTTATCAGCCAATGGATGAAAAGATCAAAACCCTTATATGGAGAAGGCAATGTGATTGGCCAATCGTGTTGCAGTATGACGTCAAAGCGAAGTATCGATTGATTTCTAGAAAGTTCTTCGGGCATGAAGTTTTTTCACCCGAGCGTTCGCTTATTCGATAAACTAATCAGATCGCTCTATTTTCATTTGTTTTTTTTTCTGTTTTGCTCGCTCGTTTTCGTTTCAAGATCATACGAAAGTCGCTCTCTCAATGTGTTAGTCGACTTCATGATTTCTTCAGACATAGGAAGAAACAAAAATCAAACTGCGGTGATAAACTTAAGACATGACGTATGGTAGGAAAATGTGCTTATTAATAAAGCCTGCAAACTAAAAAAGGTCAAGTTTTTCACTGCTGACATTTTTATTTATAGGGAAGGTTTTAGATCCTTAATCAGCAGAGTCTCCTTTTTTTTGCAATGGGTGTCCAACCGTCATCTTACCAAAATTCCGAAATGGTCCCGCATGTCATCTATTCTTTCTTTCATTAGTTACACCCTAAGTTTAAATTTATGTAATTATTCAACGGTTTATACTTCTGAAGATGTATGTTTTAACATACGAAACGTCAAGTTAAAGTTTTCTTTCCGCTCCAGAAATGCGTTGATATTTCCTTATGTTTATCACCACAGTTCGCTTTTTGTTTGTTCTTTAGACATGTTTCTTTATAGCTATTTCTAGAAGAAAGAGTGATAAATATCGGACCAGTTAATAATTCAACGATATGACGTCATAGTGAAGTCAAATTACGTCATTAGTGTCAATCAGATTATACCTACAATCCTGGACAAAAGTCCTTGTTAAAGTAAGAGCATAACAGCAGTTCTACGTGTATCACAAGAACTGTTCTAAAAAGAAGTGCTTTCATTTAAAAAATCCATAACCCCTCCCCCTTCCCCACCCAATACAATGTCGAAAGATCAAAGAAATTCTGCCTTGACGGTTTCAACACTGTCCGTGGGGTGGGGGGAGGGGGTGGGGACGTGCAGTGTAAGTAGCGCGCGGATATGAATTTAGTGTATGTTAAAGCGCGTTCGAACTGTACAACTGTCCCAAGACTTTTGTCCATGATTGTAGATGTTGAGATTGTGGCAGATACATAATTCTCGATATTAAGAAGTAATTCGCGTATGGCTTTCCTCGGTGCATTGACTTCTAAAACTTTAATGTGTAGTTCCAAAAAATGTCCATACCCCCCTCGGAGGGCACTTTTGTTTTAGACCCCCCATCCCCCTGGAATTTCCATTCTAGGGGGTGCTTGTCATACCCCCTTCCCCACCCACCCCCTAGAATTTCCGTAATTTTCCAACTCTGTTGGGAACCCCCTGGAAAGAATGTTTCCGGAAAAAATGCATTTGCATGATACTTTTATGCGAAAGATAATTGTTTCCGCGATAAAGAGAGAAAAAATCTTTTTTATTCCTGTTAACACAGGGTCAATCTCAATTGAGATTCTTTCCACTGAAAACGCCTCGCGCATGAGGAAAGTTATGCTGGCAAAGGGCACCGACGATAACACACACCAGTTTCAGTTTTCAAACAATTAAACCGTTTTGGTAAACTTTCAAAACGTTTAGTAAACTAACAGCGAGTACTTTGCTTAGCTTTTGCATTTTTTTCCTCCTTTTACCGCGATGAAGACCTAACTGTAGCATTATTTTTTTTCAGCTTGTCTTATATTTTTATATTTCAGCTGTACCTCTACTGACCTATCTATTAATGAAAGGCGAACTCACTCCGGAAGAAATTAATATGAATTCAATCGGAATGTTCAGAGCAGGAGTTGATACGGTAAACGCTTAATTATCTACACCTACACTAATCACTGGGCATATATAAGCGCAATTTACAGAATACAAAGACGATAGAACTTGCTAATCAGCCAAGCAAGCACAACAGTAGTAAGGTCTACTCGAAGTAAGTATCCGGATATTTTTCAAAATGGAGATTCATTTCCCTGTTTAGCCTTCGTTCCGCATGTATACTGCTTTGTCGGGTGCCAAAAACAAAAATGTAGAAATTCTTGAAAACGACGGCGGCTTATCGTTTACGTGTGTACGGAAGAGAACGGAGGGTTTTTTGTGTGTTTTTGCACAAGATCATTGTTACAAGTGAATTTAAGGCTATGTTTACACGTGCCCACATACCTCTCCCCTAAGTCAATATTATAACATTTTCTTCTCACTTAGGGCAAAATGTTGGGTTAGGGGAGGGGTAGGTGGGCAGTTTCCCAGAAACCTAAATCGATCAGTTCACACTATACTGTATAGTAGGGGCAGCAAGCAACGGTCAAGGGCGGCACAAGTCATGAGACGAACCAAACTTAGTGAGTTAAGTTCATGAAAAGTTCGACATCTGGCTCAGTTCGTCTCAATGAGTTTGGATCGTCCAACACGTTCTATCCGTCTGCTTCAGTAGAACGTCTGACGATCGTCTCCGGGACAAACTTCGATCTCCACATGCGACGAACTAAACTAATAAATTAAAAATTTGTATGATAGTATATCTGACTGGATTTATGAAAACATGGCTTCAGTAAGCGTCTAAAGGTCCTATGCTAAGTGCGTCCTTGGTACCAAGACTTTGACCCTCCCCACCCAGGACAATGGGTGACTGTCTGCACCTCCCACTGAGCTCTGCAATTATCATGATAATCATTCTAAACAGAGGCCTGATTCACCTGGCTAGGGCAAATTAAGACCAAGGCACTCGCCAGTCAAGGCCTGCACTGAACACTGCTGCTTACTGAAGGGGTTGTGTCAAAACAGCCCCCTCCCTACACCACTAGTTTTGACCCCAAGGCCTGATCCACCCATCCACTGGGCAGTCCCTGGGCTATCCAGCTGTACCGACCAAGACGTCAAGCCCCCTACATTTTTGGGCACCGGGCTGGCCTGGAGCCGGGCGGCGCCCGTCGCCAGGCGAAAACCCAGTGGCGGCGTTTTAACGAAATCAGACAGATATATTATTTAGCCTTGTTCGAAAGAAAATTTACTACTGGCCGACCAAAATTGCGAAACGTCCTAAGTTCGACGTCTGACCCAAGAGACGATCATAACTTAATTTGGGTCGACACAAATTAGAGTTTGGTTCGTCCCATGAAAAGTTCGACGGCTGGTCTAGGCTTTAGCTAACCAAGACATTGATCCACTGTTGAAAGTTTATCTGTCCTTTCGTTATAATCGTGAAACCGCAAGGCGTGCACACTCGTGCTCATAGCTTCTACTTTTTATTGGTTAAGTGTGTTCTCAAATGTGGTGTAGACCATATTTGGCAGCGATTTCCGGCTTCTTTGAACTACGAACGTTGCCATGGTCACCAAGTAAAGTTGAAAAAGGTGCATTTTACCCCTTCGCAATCAAAGTAGGTTCCAGGTACACTTACATTATGCTTAAAGCTCTTGAGTGAAGATAACAAATTTAGATTGTTACGAGCACAATTTATCGTAGCCTACACCCTTCATTCATTATCATTATTATTATTATTACTATTATTATTTGTTTATTTATTTATCTATTTTTTAGACATCTAACGCAATGCTGTGGCTTCTTTATGATTTGGCCAATAATCCCAAGGTGCAGGAGAGGGTGTATGAAGAAGTACTCTCTCTTATTAGTCCCCACGGTGATTTCAACTCTGAGAATTTGCAAAGTTGCAGTACATTAAAGCTTGTGTGAAAGAATCCATGAGGTAATTTGGGAAAAAACTGTAATGCGTAACTTAATACAGAGTTAAATACTTAGCAGCAATGCCAAAAAACATGTAAGCTGCGAGCAGGCTCATCCCAGGTGGAGCGGAGCGTGCTTTTTTTTTTCCCCAGGCCACGCTATTCTTTGTCGCCCCGTTGCACTCTGGAGTCTCTTCGCAATCTAAAAATTGTGGCACAAAGCGTTTCCGATCAGCTAATTTACTTTGCTTTCAGATCAAGCGAAAGACATGTTTTCACATGGATAATGAAATTTTCAATTTCTTATGTACGTCTTCAATTTTTATCACTAGACTCCATCCTATTGCCTATAGCTGGGCCCGTATTTTAAACCAAGATGTAGTTCTCTCAGGCTACAACGTTCCATCAAATGTAAGTACTATTCTCTCATAGTTCTTCCTCATTTTGATATATAATTCGCATTTATTTTCTCTTCTCTTACTTCGATCATTGCTATAAAGTAAAGGTAAAGGCGCACACAAGCAAAAGGCCCAAAACGACTGAAGCTTATCCCGGTTTCCTTAGCATGAAGCAAGCCTAGGAGTATTGCTACTCCCCCCTGGACGGGATGCTAGTCCATCGCATAGTTACCCACCAGCAGTATCTCGCCGGTACCCATTACACTGGGAGAAGGGAGGCAAAGTGGAGTAAATTTCCTTGTCTAAGGAAACAACGAGTCTGGCGAGGCTTGAACCCCGGACCTTTAGGTCCGGAGTTTGAGGTGTTAAAATCAAATGCCTTATTTAATTTCTTCGTCATCTAGCATAATATTTTTAATTTCATTGTTTTAAAGTATCGTGGAAAGCAAAATCTCCAACATGGCCACAAAAAGGAAGAGGAAATGACATCTGCTTGTAGAATCTGGATTTTGGAAGATTGTCAAATCTCTCATAAAGTTCGGTCACTCAGAAAGTTTTTCCTCATCAATCGTGAGGCGTGTTAACGAGCTAAGCGCACGTTTTGCCACTTTGATAATCAGCGCGCGGCATCTTATCTGTTTGGTAGCGCGCCCGTAACAAAAAAGCGCACCATTTTCTTCAAAAAAAAAGGAAGAAGGAAAGAAAGAAGCAAACAAACTTAGCAGCATCCTATTTTATCATCTATACCTTTTTTCTCTTTTTTGCACACTGTGGTTCTTTATAGTAATTACCTGTCTGGACGATCAGAAGAGTTGTTCCAGTTTCCTTTGGAATACAGACCTGAACGTTGGCTGAATGAAGACCTTGGGAAAATTCATCCTTTTGCTAGTCTTTCGTTTGGAGTCGGTCCTCGTATGTGCCTTGGTGAGTTCATTCTTAAATAGTTCCCTTAAAATTCTCTTAGAATTGGAGAAACGTTTCGATCTTCTGTTTAGTGCTTTGTTGTGACTTTAAGTTTGTCCTTTATAGCAGAGGCTAAGTAAAGTTTATTGCATTCCAGGCCGCCGTATTGCTGAAGCTGAAATTTACCTACTGGCCGCAAAGGTAATAAATAAATAAATAAATAAATAAAGGTCTTTATTGTTTTTTAAGCAAAAATACATGCTAAAAACCAAGAACACTTACATTAAAAACCGCAGGAAGAATTATAAGGCTTAAAAAATTCCATGTAGAAGCATTAAATTTAACATTCAAGATCCACATCACATTAAATAGCAACTCTATATTTGAAAAATAGCCTATTAAAAAAACTAAAACCCTGGGCGATAACCTTACCGCAGGCCCCTAAAAGGTACCGAGACAACTCTGGCAGCAGTCATTTTAGGTCTTAGACCCTAAGCGGTACCAATCCACAAGTTTAGACCCCTAAAAGGTACGACGAGCACCCCCGTCACTTTTATAGGGGAGTACCCCCTCCCCCAACCGGGCAAGAGAGTATAACAGAACAGAGAGGAAGTGTTAAGGCGTTGGCCGGGATATGTGAATTTCAAGCTATTTTTAGCGGTTGTAATTAAACGGAAGTCTAATTCCTGAGACGTCCGCCCATCTTAATCAAGTCCACAAATCAAGTTCTCGAATCAAAAAATGCAGAATGTTATTTTTGTAATGGCGTCTGTTGAATTTTCTCTTAACAATGAAGAATAAAAGTTTGTGGACCTTTCCAGAAACCAACTTCTGATTAATTCAAGCGTTTAATTGGTCTAAAAATAACTTGGATGATATTCACATTTCCCAATTTCCAGAATGGGCGTTTCCCTCTGTCAATTTTTTTTTTCTTTTTTTCTTTTTTCGAGGCTCCAAGTGATGCGAAAAGAGCACATCCTTTCCCACATCATGCGCGTCTTACTTTCTCTTGGCTTGCTTTATTTGCGCGTCGTCCTTACTTTCTGAGAGCCTGTCACAAGCTAAGGGCCTGTTTACATGGAGGTGGGGGACCCCATGTAGGTGGGGTAACCCGCCTGCCCATATAGTCTCTCATTTTAATTTCATCACGTTTATATGATAGGTGGGGCGACCATATGAGAGCCTGTAGATTAGGCAGGTTACCCACCTAAGTAGTGGGTTACCTCACCTACCTGGGATCCCCCACCTCCATGTAAACAGGCCCTAAGTTATAAGTAGCGTCCCATACCAGGGTGACCTTGACCACTGTCAACCATTGGTTACTAATTAAACATTTCACACCCTGATTTCAGATCGTTCACTGCGATTCATTTTGGAATACCAAGGAGAACATGCATCTATGACGTTTAGAGTAGTGGCAGTTCCAGATCGCACTTTAAAGATAAAATTTTTTGATCGCCAATGATTTTCATAAACTCTTACTTTAGCAAAAATCACTCTCTGAACCAACTCTTGGACTCTTGGTCCCTCAGTTAATACCTTACGCATGTGCACAGCCACATCACCACTGGTTTGTCCGCCATCGTCAGCTCTTTCCTCCTTGTTATGATCCATTAGCACAGCAGAGCTTAGGCAAATTGGTTTCACAGCCATCATAAGGGCGTAGCGAGGGGAGTCCTGGTGGGGTGCCCCTGCCCCCCTTCCCCCTTGTGAGATAATTGTTTTAAACGCGCGAATCCGAAGAAGAATCAGCATACATGAAAATCATAAATGAAACCTTTTCCGTTATAAATCGATGAAAATCACCTGATTGCCAACGATTTTCATCGATTTCGATTTTTATCTATTTGCTACTCTGGGATGTAACTACACCCGGAATTTTGAAAGGGTGGCAGGTCTAAATCGTGAGAAACTGGGCACTTTTAAACCTGGCCATATCAACCATCAGAAGAAGATTTTAAACGTGGCTTTAAAGAAAAGATCAGATTTTTTAAAAGATTTAAAAAAAAAAAGAGTGAGGGTAATTGTTTGATCCTTCGACTATCAATTGCAGCTCGATTATCAACAAATTTACAGTTTGCATGAATTCAGTTTTCATTTTTTGATGAACAGATGAACTAATGTATTTTCTGATGTAATTTGACGAAATTGGTAAAAATCAAGATAAATCGATAAACGAAAAGAGTGTGTCATCGATTTCTACCAATTGATCGATACAATCGATATCAATCAAATCAAATTTACCGATTTTTATCGATTTATCGATTGATAAATTGATACTGATTTTTATTGATTGACTACTCCGGGTTAGGTTAAGTAGTTGACGTCAACGTGAGTATCGCTTTTGCACACGCGTTAGCCTGTTCCAGGCTCCGAGATGTTGGTGGAAAGTCGTTCAGTTATTTTCGCTTTGCTCGTTTTAATACGTTCCCACTATACTATCTGAGAGCCTGGCACAGGCTACACACGCGTCTAAAGTACGCGCCATCGAAGAATGGTTTTACTTTTTTCACCCCTAGCAAAAAAAATCAAACTTGGAAGATCTTGTGTTTTGGTTTTTTATAGTTTATGATTTTTAAAAATGATATTGGTCATAGAACTTCGAGTCGTTTAATTTGGTCTGTAATTACTCGTGGAATTAGAAAGGCGGCACACATCAAAGATTAAAACAACGGTGCTACAGTTTTAAGCTCCCTGATGGTGCACAAATTTCGACTGAATAAATTAGTGCGATGTGTTCAGTAACTATTAAGAACAAAATGATAGGAATGCTATTGAACTTTGTGCACCGTCAGGTGCTTAAAAACATACAACAAAGCAATCTGACAGGTTTCAAAACCGTTCCACTCTGTCAACTACAGTATGGGGTTGATTAAACAAATTGGACTCCCGCTACGCGGTCGTGCGCTTTTGTCAGTCACAAAGAATTTTGTTCTTGGGATAAGCATTGCGAGCTTTCGCTATATAAACTTGACGTTTCGTATGCTAGTCAAAAGTGATCTAAAGTGACCGTTACACTCACTCGAATTCTAACAGACCGAATTAGCTCGAATTGGACTTCACTTTGACTTGATTGATGATCTCCTCTTGATCTTTTTTCATTTGTACATTTATGTAAATTACTTTTGTTGGCTTGTAACTATAACATAATTTTTGATTTGGTGTATTTGTGTATGTATTGCCCACCTATGTGTAAAAATTGTAAGTGTTGATTGACCAATAAAAAATGATTGATTGAATGACTGATTGAGCTACACTCACACCGGCAATATGTAGATGGAGTACGAAATATCGAAAAGACTAAGCTAACTATTTAATACAAAACTGAGGCCTTGACAAAAATTAAAATACGAAGAACAAGCAACTCCATCCCCGCTTAACCCCCCCCCAAAAAAAAAAAAACTCCCTCACTTCGCTAACCATGGTCACGCAACACTGGTTCCACTTTCACGCTAACGACATAGATATTTTGTTAGGTCACAAGGTCACTTGGACTTCTTGTGTCAGGTACGGACGCATGCTTTTCTCTTGCGAAATGGACGACTCACTGTACTTATTCTGTTCGGGCTTAGTCATTGCAGCCCTGATTTGGCTCTTCAATCCTTTTGGAAAACTGGAAAGCCTGATGGGCTGTCTGTTGAACTCGCGAAGTGCGAAACTGCCCGATGGCGTGCGCTCGTTCGACGACATGCCGGGCCCTTGGGGATGGCCGTTCTTTGGCGACATATTCAGCTACCTTAAGGACGCTGACTTCAAACAACAGATAGCAAAGCTTAAAAGCAACTTTGCTAAGTACGGACCGATATATAAGAGGACCATTTTGGGGAGGAATGTTGTTTTAATACAAGACCCCAAGGATGTGGAGACGGTGATCAAAGCTGATGGTAGATGTCCGATGCGACCGAAGCAATCGTTATTGAAGGCAGTAGAAGAATACAGCAAAAGTAGAGGAATACCCAAGGGTTTAATAGTTCGGTAAGGTTCAAGAATTGTGATATACATGCCCTTAGTATGTAGGTGTAATGGGATCAGTTCTTTACCTGCGAAAGTCAAATGCGTGAGATTTTCGTCTTGTCATGACCAGAATCTCCAAAAATGTCCCAGCGACTTCCGAAGGTTTCCGACGATTTTCCAAAAACTTCCGAACATTGCCGAAAATGTCCAAAGAGGTTCCAACGATCTTTGAGCACTTCTGAAGTTATTTACAATTAAAAGATGACAACTTTAGTGTGTTTTGATTTCATTAGGACACAAAGTCATCATTCAGCGCCTATTTGGAACATTTTCTTGGAAATGAAATTGAATTTACATTATGAATCATGTGTAAAGAAATAATTTGTACAGATTTGTGAGTCAGGCGTTTGAAATTGTTGATGCATGAGATCAATGTTTTTAGTCCAGAGGCATAACGTGTGAGAGTTTGCAGGTATACAATTTGTAACTTCAACATCAACCCCCCCGGGCAACCCCCTTGTTAACCCCCCCCCCCCCCCGGGCATTTGAACTTTTGAAGAAGTCCCGTTACATCACAAGGGAGCCCTAACAAACCGTGTGGCCATTCTAATGTTTCAATTTAGAGGAAATTCCTAATTAATGTATGGAAATATCAAATATCAAAAAGGTTCACATTGCCATAATATAATGCAATAAATTTTTGCATTATTATAAGATCTAAGGTCTATTTACAAGTGATGTTTTGTATTGCTCGTGCCATGTTTGTTACATTTACTTTTTTGGTTTTTTAGGGAGGGAGAAGATTGGAACCGAATGCGTAAGGCTCTGGCACCAAAAATGCTGCGACCAAAAGACGTACGGGACAACATGGACAACTTTACTGCTGTAACTAGGGATGCTCTAGAGCACATGGTTTCTATAAGAGGAATTGATATGGAGATTCCAGATCTTGACAAAGAACTTGCAAAGTGGGCAACTGAGTGTAAGTGTTTACTATTAAGGTGACTTGACCCAGTTTTTTTGGGGGGGGTACCATCCTACTTTGAAGCTCTCTGGTTTCCCCACCTTTACTTTTATCGTAAGTCTAACACATAGAATGGATAACATATAGATCAATCTACAATATAACATAAAATTTTTGGCGATCGGAGTAAATGTCACGTGGTTATAATGCCACGCCCCTTTGAGGTCTGAGTCGAAAATCTGCTGTTGCCGGCATTTTTTCGTGAAAATCTCTTGGCTACACATAGTGCGCAGTAGTGCCTTGCGCTGAACAGAGTTTCACCAAAATCGCAAAGACCCAATTCGAGAAATTCAGCGGTTTCCAAATTTAGGTCATAATTTATGCGAAAATGATAGGCAAACTTTACACGGATCATATCTAATAAACTATGAGATTCATCTCTGTATTTTGGGCATCCTTATAACAGATGGGTCCTTGCAAGTCAGCAAAACAATTTAGGGCCTTGTAAATGCGCGCGATTTCGAGCAAAGCAAACATATAGAAATTATAGTTTTCGCAATTTGTTGACATTTGTCAGCGTTTGAGAGTCAATCTCACGAAAAAAGCATTTTCTTAAAAATTCGTAGTTTTTTTTCCTTCAAATTTTTTCAAGGCCACAATTGATTAACTAACTACCCGGACTCTGAATTTCATGGTCATTGAAAAACTGTGACATTATCTTCTATAAGCCCAAACTTGAGTAAACATTGAAGATTTTTAGAGTTTTGGCTGAGTTTGTACTTTGGGAGTTGTCTATTGTTTCTAGTGTGTCATGATACAGCATTCTTGTTCAGCACGTGTGCAATGACCGCGCTTGGCTGACTTCCGAATGCTCACCGGATATGATAATTTTGGTACAGTGAGACAGGCCATCGCGAGATACATAGAGGTTTAACTCACAATTTTTCGTGCTTCTTGTGCCTTTGCAAAAAAATCAAGAAGTGCTACACACTAAATCTACTTACTATTAAAAAAATACCATTTTTTCATAGGTTTAATGCAAGCCAATAATTAAACCAACTCGTGACGGTAATCCCTTCTATTTTCTTATACTAAATTATTATATCTCGGTGAGCATTCAGAAGTCAGCCAAGCGTGGTCACTGCACGCGTGCTGAACAAGAATGCTGTATAATGACAGACTAGAAACAATAGACAACTCGCAAAGCACAAACTCAGCCAAAACGCTAAAAATCTTCAATGTTTACTCAAGTTTGGGCTTATAGAAGGTAATGTCACAGTTTTTCAATGACCATGAAATTCAGAGTCTGGGTAGTTAGTTAATCAATTGTGGCCCTGAAAAAATTTGAAGGAAAAAAAACTACGAATTTTTAAGAAAATGCTCTTTTCGTGAGAAGGACTCTTAAATGCTGACAAACGTCAACAAATAGCCAAAACTATAATTTCTATATGTTTGCTTTGCTCGAAATCGCGCGCATTTACAAGGCCCTAAATTGTTTTGCTGACTTGCAAGGACCCATCTGTTATAAGGATGCCCAAAATACAGAGATGAATCTCATAGTTTATTAGATATAATCCGTGTAAAGTTTGCCTATCATTTTCGCATAAATTATGACCTAAATTTGGAAACCGCTGAATTTCTCGAATTGGGTCTTTGCGATTTTGGTGAAACTCTGTTTAGCGCAAGGCACTAATGCGCACTATGTGTAGCTGAGAGATTTTCACGAAAAAATGCCGGCAACAGCAGATTTTCGACTCAGACCTCAAAGGGGCGTGGCATTATAACCACGTGACATTTACTCCGATCGCCAAAAATTTTATGTTATATTGTAGATTGATCTATATGTTATCCATTCTATGTGTTAGACTTACGATAAAAGTAAAGGTGGGGAAACCAGAGAGCTTCAAAGTAGGATGGTACCCCCCCAAAAAAACTGGGCGAGTCACCTTAAGTACGCGACCTGTAATATCAGAGCCCGAGGGGTGGGGGGGGTACTCCCCATGATGGCCTATACAGGAAGGTTCTGCCCGAGAGGGGTATCTTTTTCAGGCCTCAAGTATATGAAAGGGTAGGGATTTCAGTGACTTGTTGAAGTATATAAAAGGGTAGCAAAATCTGTCATTTGTGTCTGTGAAAGGTTCCAAAAGGGCTAACAGATGCAAAGTTCTAAAGAAGGTATGTGAAAGGGGTACCATTTGTCAATAAGAGGTATACGAAAGGAGTTCCTTTTTCATGAAAACTTGTATATAAAAGGGTTTGGGGTTGACCTTGGGGCAGAGCCTCCCTGCACAAACATCCCCCAGGTATCAGAGTTTTACGGAAATCGATCAGATTTTCGTATCAAATATATCAAATAAATTAGCCTTGATGAAATAATCCGCCAAGGAAAATGGAACTGGCCAATATCCTGTCTGAAGACTAAGAAACCCAGGAAAGAGGACCTTAGGGAGTTAAAATTTCCTTAACGAGCACCCAGCGAAGGCCCAAACTTCTCGGCTTCATAGAACGCGCCTAGAAGCTTGCACCTCGGTCCTTGTTTAGGAAATCGGTCAGTAGTTATCCTAGATCCGTGCCTGAAGTTATAGCTCGCGCTGCACGATTTTGGAGTTTTACGCCCCTGTCAGGATGAATATTGCTTGGAGCAAATTGATGTTAGTCGCTCTTGGTACTTAAAAGGTTAAAGGTGGTAGTAACAGCCTTTGCTCAGCAGTCTGATAGAGTTTTACTTAGGACCTGGTTGACCTTGACTATTATAGATGTAATGGCAAGATCAAGAGAAAGGCTCTCAAACCATATCGAAACTGAAATGATAGGATCTAAAATGTTAAAAGAGTTATGTGAAAGTAAACATCCTAATTACATCTGTATTCTGCTTTTAACAATTTTTGTTCATAACCCGAATATCCATTAAAAAAAATACACAAATTCTCCAGACTGATACATTTCCTTAAAAAAGTAATTGAGAGAATTTAGTAAAAGATCACAGCATTTTTCCTTTGGTGATCAATTTATTAATTCTCATAACCTTTTCTTTTGGTGATGTATGAATTTAATGTTAGGAGAGAATTAATGTTGGTCACTCTCGGAACTTGAAATGAGCTCCACTCCACTCTTTTAGCCGTAGGTACCATGGCGTTTGACGTAAGAGTTGGACTGTATGATGACCCACCCAACAAAGACACCGTTAAAATGGTTCAAGCTACATTGGATGCGTTTGCACTCATGGGAAAGCTGGGTCGAGGATGGGAAAACCTGTGCTACATGTTCTTCACGACTCCCACATATCGGAAATTCTGTGAAGCTACAGATACCTCATTCGCCATGAGCCAAAAGATTGTGGACAACAAGGTTGCAGAATTGAACAAAATGGCTGAAGAAGGAGGGAGGTTTGATGACAATCAAAGTGAGTGTAACTTAATGAATTCTACTGTGTTCTTATCGCCACTGGTAAGGCATGGGTGATGAGAGTGTGGTCGAGGTATATGTCCAGTGGTCCCCTCTCTCGTAGTCGGCCTCAAATTGTTTGCAGACCGCGAGCAGTACATATACGTTATTGACCAAGGGTTATACTGCGAGCAGTCCCTCTTCAGTCAGTCGAGTCTAAGCTCAGCAGGACTGGAGAGAGCGAAATGGCCGAGAGGGAAACTGGAGAGAGGCCTTTCCTGCCTCCCCCCAGCTTCCCCTCGGCTTCTTGTTTTTCAGTTTCGCTCGCTTTGCGCGATTTCCTCGCTCGCGTGACCATCCTGAGGGACTGCTCACAGTCCAACCAAGGGTGAGATCAAGATGCTGATGGCTGAATATTGGCCAAGTTCTTTTTTACATTTTTACTAAAAACACCAAAAAACGAGGCCAGTATCAGCTAACTTGACCGAACAAGCTTGGTCAAAAAAAGGATTTACTTTATGGCCAAAAAGGGAGCTTTTTCTTGCATGGCGGGAAATCCCGAGCCAAGCGACTGCTCAGCGGTAGCCAATCAGAACGAAGCATTCGCCTCATCCCTCCGCTTATGATAAGATATTAGCCTGCGTAGCAGGCGCTTGGAGGTAGTGGGCGAAAGAGAGAACTGGCGCGCGCGAGGGAGATGCGTGTCTCATGCTCGCGCGCCTGTTTTTTCTTGTGCCCACTACTTCCAAGCACCTGCTACACAGGCTAATAAGATATCTTGTTGACCCACATGAGCCCGTTCAACCGGGTGGGCACGGTTTCTGAGGAAGTTATTGCCTCACCACTCTTTCTTTTGTAAAATTTTTGTCTGTTAACGGACGGAGCTGTCCCCACTTCTAAACGACAGTCAACTGGAACGAAGGCCTAAGCTCTACGGCGGTGGAACCTGGGAAAAGATGAATAATTAATTAACATAACTAGATTTTCACTTTTCGAAGAGTTGAAGAATATTGAGGCGCTTCTTTCCACTGAAAAAACTTCCTGCGTGAATTAAATTATGCTGACAAATGGCACCGACGATAACACAACTTTCAGTTTTTTTCACTTTTAATTAAACTTTCCAAACGTCTAGTAAAAACTATAATAAACTGATAGCGAATTAATAATATTTAAAATGTAAGCTCGGAAATACTTTACTTAGATTTTTCAATTGTTTTCTCATTTGGCCGCGGTGACTGCCTTAAAGCACAAAATAAATGCATAACATTAGCAGTTATTTTGAGTTTTACATCAAGTCGCCCGAAGTTATGTCGGCCGAAATTTATAGGATAATTTGTCGCCCGAGTGCTGAGTTTATGTTTTCCGAAAAATTTCCTTGCTCAACAACATCCTAACCTTCTATTACCTATTTTTCGTGCTTCTTTCTCTATCAAGGTTTGAAAAACGAGACACATTAATTTAAACCTGACGGTACATTTATCGCACTTTTTCGTTGTATCCTGCCTTAAAGATCGAGATGCTTTATTCCACTTAAATTATTTATCTGTGTATTGCTCATGACTATAAATTTTGGGCGACATAACTTCGGTGAGATGAGTTTCGGGCGACGTGACTGGTTAAATAATTTTCATTCAAGCTTACTTTTTTAATTTCTCTATTGCAGGTGTATCTCTACTGACCTATCTATTGATGAAAGGCGAACTCACCCCGGAAGAGATTAATATGAATTCAATCGGAATGTTCAGAGCAGGAGTCGATACGGTAAACACGCCAATCATCACAGAGTTTATTATTATTATTATCGTTATTATTATTATTATTATTATTATTATTATCAACAGCTATAGATACTTTATTATTGGGATGTACATAGAAATTTTCATTTTTTAGTTTATAGACAGTTGTTTACATTTGCTCTGTTGAAAACCACCAGACCACCAAGAAGTCTTTTTAAACTATAGTTATACTAAATTTGTATTTAATTTTCAATTTGAGAAGAGTTTAATAAAGTATGTTAAAAAAAATATATTATTATTATTATTATTATTATTATTATTATTATTATTATTAATTTAAGAATCATTACAAAACTACTAAGGCCCCGTCCTCGAGTATCAAGGTATTTTTTCAAATGGGGATTTGTCTTCCGTCCACATGTATACGGCTCCAGCGGGCAAATGTGACGTTATCCCACATCTCACTCCACTATAGTAAAAACAGAGTGCATTCTCTTTTTATTAGACTCCAGCACTCAAAAAAGGCAAATATAGCGCGGGAGGTACTCCCTATAATGGCTTATACGTGGAGGCTCTGCCTGAAAGGGGTACCTTTTTCAGGCAAAGGGTGGAGATTTTACTTGTTAAAGTATATGAAAGGTTAATAAATTTATTTGTTTATTTATTTATCTATTTTTCAGACATCTAACGCAATGCTGTGGCTTCTTTATGATTTGGCCAATAATCCCAAGGTGCAGGAGAGGGTATATGAAGAAGTACTCTCTCTTATTGGTCCCCACGGTGATTTCAACTCTGAGAATTTTGCAAAGTTACAGTACATTAAAGCTTGTGTGAAAGAATCCATGAGGTATGTCATCTAGTACAGTGTTCTACCTATCTATATCGCGCGCATTTGCACCAATTTGACGAGTCTGCTGTCCCATTCCCGCACTGCGCATCTGTTGGACATGACAGATGCAAGATCCTGCCTCGTAACTGCTTTCCATTCGACTTAGATGTCAAATTGTTTTAATGCACTTGAGATTTCTTTAGCCACGTTTTAGCAAATCCAGACAGATATATATTTTTAGCAGTAATGTAGGTCTAGTTTCTCTTAAAATTTGTTATTTAAACGGCTCACTAGAAGAACATTTTTAATCAAGTGGCCCCTTGAATAGAGCTTTTGATTGATTGATTGATCGTAAGACCGATGTCACTCTCTAGTTGGTCAATAAATGTTGTTGCTGGGCTCTCCCTTGAGCGTCTGGTGTCTTATAGGGGATGTCGATCGATATATCGACCCGAGTATCGGCCGAATATCGGTCGAGTGTCGGTCGACATATCGGTCGATATAGATCGACATGTCGGCTAAATGTCGGTCGAGTGTCGGTCGAGTTTTGATTAATCATCGATCGAGTATCTGTCGAGTAAGCGGTCGCTGTATCGACCAATCATCAGTCTATCGTCGTCGGCAGTTAACTGCGATAGTAACGGGAGTGTGTCGGCAATGTATCGGTGAACCGTCGGTCGAGTATCGGTAACGTATCGGTGGTATATCGGTCGAGTATCGGCACCGCCTGTTCAACTTTGACAGACGACCGATATGTTGACCGAGAGTTGACCGACATATTGGTTGACACCCCCGATAAGACACAAGATCCAGCGTCTGCGGTGTTTTGGTTCCCAAACAAGCAGTTGGGAAACAGTGGTCACTAAACTACAGCCAGCGTATCTGGAGACGTGTAGAAAATAGTATAGGTCCCCGTACAGCAGTATGGAGTGTTACATACCATTATTTCTTCAAGCGTTGCAGTATAAAACCCAACTAATATATCAAAAGTCATCGCCCCATAAATATGGACGCAAAACGGGGAACTTCGATGCCATTTTGTTTCTTTGATAGCCAAAATTATCGATTCGAAATTTTAAAAATTCTTTTTGTCTTATTCAGTAACACTTTGTGGTGCTTGGTACCTGACCCTTTAATATAATCATTTACAACTAACCTATGCAACGTTTTGATGCTGTGCCTGTAAAAATCACCCCCCCCCCCTGCTCCCTGATAAAATTTCTTCATATCTCCTTAGTAACTCCACAGGAGTATTTCTTGTATAAGTTAAGGTACTAAGTGTTGACTTCAGCGCATAATTGACCTCAAACAGCAATATCCTCGTGACATAACTCCAAGCTTCGGTCAAAGACGAATAAAATTTGCGTGCGTATTCTCCTCAGTTTTGCCAATTTGCTTTGTTATAAAATCAAGGGTAAGACGTTGTCATGGTTATGATAGGGAGCTTTACCAACGACGACTGCGACGGCAGCGAAAACGTCACCCGAAGATTTCGCGTTTTTTTTAAAGCTTTGTCGCGATTAATATCTCACTCGTTTAAAATGTCAAGTGTGGGTAAATTCCCTGGAAGTGGATTCTTAGGGATCAACCCCAAGTTAAAAAGGACATGAAAGAGAATTTCGTCTTGCATTTTCCACCTCCATAAAATGTCGCATAAGGGAATTTTACCTCGTAGTTTTGCAGTGACTACAGAGAAAATCACAAATAGTTTGTTTTGCTAATTAAACCTTTTGCTTTTTGGAAGTTTTCGTTGGAGTCGCCGTGAAATGAAATGAAAACGTGTTTAACCTTTAACCCTAGACTCCACCCTATTGCCAGTGGCTGGGCCCGTTTATTGAACCAAGATGTAGTTATCTCCGGCTACAACGTTCCAGCAAATGTAAGTATTCTTTCTTTGTTCCTTCCCATTTTCCAATTTTTCTTTCTTTTTTCTCTCTCCTCTTCATACGATGCGAAGATAAGAATTTCTTGGCAACAGTATTTCTGAGAAAATATTTTTGAGTGACACCTAAACATTCATCGAAAGGTGAGAAAAGTCTCGCGGACCAAGGTATGTCATTCCTTCAAAATATTGATTCTCTCACCTTGCCAGAAGTCAGCCTTTTTTTTGCGTAACGAGAAAGACTCTGCTTGAATCGAGAAAAATCTTTGTTGAGATTGCGTTAGAATAAAGATTCTTAACCACCCAGGCTTGATAGCCGTGCAGCTGCAGCAGCAAACAAACATAGCAGCAAATTTCAAAGAAATCTGCTATTGTATAATCTAAACTTCTTTTATCTCTTTTGGGCAGACTGTGATTGTTTATAACAATTACCTTTCTGGACGGTCCGAAGAGTTGTTCAAGTTTCCCTTGGAATACAGACCCGAACGTTGGCTGAATGAAGACCTTGGGAAAATTCATCCCTTTGCTAGTCTTCCGTTTGGAGTCGGTCCTCGTATGTGTATAGGTGAGTTCATTATTAATACCGAGCAGGCCCTCTATCGATTTTTCTAGATAGGTCAGGAAGAGGAAGAAGATGATCGACTCTGCTGAGCTTCCGAGTTGCCTCAAGCCTCTGTTTCAAAGCGAGGCTAAGTGCGAAGCCATTGATACGAAAAATATTTTTTTATCCTCATGCAAATAAAACTCACTTTCACAACAAAGGTCTTGCACTTAGCCTCGTCTTAAAAGTAAGAGTTTTTAGAAATCGAAAATGGCCTGTTTAAATGTAACCAAGCCTCACTCAGCCTCGCTTTCAAATTATGCTAACGACCGCGCGACTTCCAAAAAGGTTTTGAAATTCTCTGTCCTTGGATGAGGGGCAAATTAAAGAATCCCGGGGTGTGCGCTTCAGGATTCCCTTTAGCCCCATGTAAGGGAATACGGATTCCGGAACACGGTAAATTTTTGCTTATCGAATCCGAAATCCTGGGCTTTGGAATCCGGAATATAGGCTCGATTACCAGCCGCTGGTCGGGAAAATGAGCCCGCACTCATCTCTCCGAAGTCTCTCTTCGGGGAAGATCGGGAGACGGCGGAAATCGAGCCTATCCGGAATACAGCTCTAGGAATCGGGAATCCCAATAACGATTGGAATCGGAATCGAAGTTCCATTGAAAAAAACCTGGAGTCCAACGCGTTTCAGAAAAACGTTTCGATTTACCGTGTTGTGCTTTGTTGTGACCTTAAGCTTGTCCTCTACGTCAGAGACTAAATGATATTTATTGCGTTTCAGGGCGCCGTATCGCTGAAGCTGAAATTTACCTGCTGGCCGCAAAGGTAATGGACACCATTACATTGTATCAAAAAAATAAGTGCACAATAAGAAGTAGCCTGAGCCACAGATGGAACTAATCTTAAGTTAAGTCCGTCTGCGAAAAAGCACCGAAATCCTTGTTGTAGGACCCCACCTGTGTACTAGAATTTGAGTACACGCCATGATTGGCCTGTTAAAAATTACCACTCTGGATTTGCTAATAGGTTGAAAAGAAATTCAAAACGCATTTCCAGTAATTCGTTGAGTTCCGGTTGGGGACCCAGAACAAGGATGTCGGCGCTGCGTTGAAGACGTTACTAGGGAATTTACGCAACGACGACGGCCATGGCTACCAAAACGTCACTTAAAAGTGAATTTGCGCTGCCTCAAACTTAATCGCGCTTATTCCATCTCGTTTAATTCGTCAAATGTTGTCAAATTTGTTGGATTTGAATTCTAAAGGACTCCATCAAAGTTCCGGAAAGCAAAAAGAAAGTTGTCGTCTTTTGTTCCCGTCCTCGACAAAACGTGAAATTAGGCAGTTTCACGTTGTAGTCGTGCAACGACGGCAGAGAAATGTGCAAAAAAAGGTGATGCACGTGCAAAGTTGTTGTTTTGCTGATCTAAACTTATCAGTGATTTTTTTGCCGTTCTCGTTGCCGTCGCCGTCGTCGTTTCGTAAACTTCCTAATAACCAGGGTTAGATGATGTCTGTGACGCAAGCTACCTTTACCATTAAGAAACATCAAATTTTATTTCAGTCATAGTTTGAAACAAAATGACGTGAAACGAAAATTGGTCTTAATTATAAATTTGCAAAGGGCGTCCCATATATACCAGCATAACCTTGACCATTGTCAACCATTGTCTACTAATAAAAGCATTTCATATACTGCTTTAATTTCAGATCGTCCAGCGATTCATTTTGGAATACCAAGGAGAACCTGCATCCATGAAGTTTAGATTACTGGCAGTTCCAGATAGGACTTTGAAGATAAAATTTATTGATCGCCAATGATTTTCATAAACCCATAATTCAACTCATTTTCTCATTTGTCATGGCAAGTAACTTGCGCATGCGTACATTCATATCACCCATGCAGTGGCCACCATCGTCAGTACTGACCAAATTTTGACGATAAGGGCAATATGCCATCTATTCGTTCAGGGTATATTGCCCCAATATACAATTGCAATCGCTTTTATCTAGGCAGCGGCCTGGCAGCCTAGCTGTTTTGGCGTGAGTGAACTCATGGAAATGGCGAAAGAGTTCACAAGCTATCCGAAGACGAAACAGCCGTTTCGTTAATGCAAGAATACGTAAGAGATCAGTATTGCTCAATAGATGCCCTCGATATTTTGAGGAGTATTTGCGTAACTGGCGGGATTAGGGGGGGAGCCACGAGAAAATTTGGAGCAAGTGAAAGAAGAAACTACCGCGCGCATATCAATCTCGACAGTACATCGGCCTAATCCTTCACATCATACTCAAATATTCCTTGGCGAAAATCTCGTGGTCTGAATTGGGAAAGCTGAAAAGGTCTATTCTTCCTAATAAGTGAGAGCTGGCCAAATTTGGAAGATGTTTGCCGATAACATTGCCTATAATTGATGTCAGTTGTACTGATAATCGAGAGAAAGAATCGACAGGTGGCGAGGTCGCTTAGCTCTTTAGGCAGGAGATCGAGGTGTCATCCAACCGCGTCCCCAGGGGTTTCTCGGTTTTCAAAAAGCGTTATACGGGAAAACCAGAAAACACTGGGTGCGAGGTGGAGCCGCCAAGGACCGGTCGAGGGATCCCCCAGTCTGTCCAGGGTTACGGTAAACACCCGCTATAAATAAGAACCTGTCGATTAAGAACCTCCTGGCAGAAATTTTGCAATTAAATACGCAAAAATATAAGAACCTGTTTAGCCAAGCAAGATCAAGTAGGTTCTTATGTGTGGGTTACAGTTAAATTATGATACCCAATTTAACAAAGGAGTGTAACCGAGTTGTAAATTTAAGTACAACAAGAACATACTGTACTAAACTGTATATAAATTCGCCAATCAGTTTGTTAGTGAATAAATAAAAAGTTTATTATTTTTGTGGAAATCAACCATTTATTATCTCCTCAGGCATAAAAATTAAGAACCTAATTAAAAACCTACTTAGCCTTAATTGTAACTAAGTACCCCAAAATACAAGAACCTTTTTGCCAGACTTCAAAAAAGTAGCTTTTTATATAGCAGGTGTTTACCGTATTAAACCCTTACGCCCCTGAACCAACCGTAATCGCTCGTGAGGGTCCACGTCACGTACCTTGTTGTACAGCTGGGGACGTCATCACTTTGAAGGGTCAAGGAGTCGTATCAGGTGGAGTCGTATGATACTGGACTCCTCTTTGACAAGATTTATCTCCTCTTGATCTTCTTTTCATTTGTTCATTTATGTAAATTACTTTTGTTGGCTTGTAACTTTAATGTAATTTTCGATTTGGTATTTTTGAATGTTGGCCTCTTAGACTTCACAAGTTTTTGCGATGTGTGTGTTGTAAAAAAAAATGTAAATGCTGATAAAATCAATAAAAAATGATTGATTGAATGATTGGTTGTCTTTACACTAAGCTGTTAAGTAAGACTTAAGAGCGGCTAAGTTTTACTTAACCAAAAATTCGTGTGTGAAGGCCTAAGTAAAATCTCAAGTAACTTTGCTTTGCATCTCATTAAAGTCGGAAAGTTGAAACGATTCAAGAAAGTTTCAAGCGACTTGAAAACCATCCTTATGGCCGACTTAGCTGACTCGCGGTTTTGCGGTTTCTTGAGCTTTGAGAAAGGCCAGACATGTCAATCAATCTTAATTATGTTGCTTGGGAAAATAACCCGAAGTAAGAAAGAATCGGTTGTGTGTGAAGCTTTATTTTACTTAAAGTAATTAAAATTTACTTGTCTTGAAATATTTCTTAGCTTATTTAGGCTCTAGTGTAAAGACTACCATTGAGCTATAATATGGAGATGGAGTACGAAATATCGAAGGGACTGAGCTTCAGAGCTCGGCCATGCCTACAAGCAACCCTATCCCTGCCCCACCCCCGAAAAAAAAAACCGTCCCACATTCTCTAACCAAGGTCACGCAACACTGGCTTCAATTTTTACGCTAACAACAAAGGTATTTTGTTAGGTCAGGAGGTCACTTGAACTTCTTGTGTCAGGTACGCACGCATATTTTTCTCTTCTTGCGAAATGGACGATTCACTGTATTTATTCTGTTCGGGCTTAGTCATTGCAGCCCTCGTTTGGCTCTTCAATCCTTTCAGAAAACTGGAAAGCCTGATGGGTGCTAAACTCCCCGATGGCGTGCGCTCGTTCGACGACATGCCAGGGCCTAAGGGATGGCCGTTGTTCTTTGGCGACATATTCAGCTACCTTAAGGACGCTGACTTCAAACAACAGATAGCACAGCTTAAAAGTAACTTTGCGAAGTACGGACCGATATTTAAGATGACCATTTTTGGGAGGACTGTTGTTTTAATACAAGACCCCGAGGATGTGGAGATAGTAATCAAAGCTGATGGTAGATATCCGATGCGACCGAAGCAAGCATTAACAGCACTGGAAAAATACATGAAAAGTAGAGGAAGACCTAAGACTATAGCGCTTCGGTAAGATTCAACAATTCTTGTGAAAAAGATGCCCATAAACTGGGCACGTCACCGCAAATAATGTGATCCGAATTTAATCCCCTTATTTTCATTTAGCGTCGAATGCGTTTCCTGATTTTGGGTCGGCATGTGTCCTTAAAACGCGGGGTTGGGGCCGGGGGCCGGGGTCCGGATCTATCTAGGGGGCGTCGATAAAACCCGGAACATGGAACATTCCGGAACATTCCGTAACATGCCGGAACATTCCGGAACATTCCGGAACATGAAAAAATAAAAATAATTTTCATGAAAAAAATATAACAAAATAATAATAATAAAATAATTTTTGTAAAAATTAATAATAACGTAAAATAACAAAAAAAAAAACGAAAAATAATGAAATAATCAAGAAAAAGATACTGGTATCCTCTCTGAGTATGAGAAAACAATATTTTGTCGCAACAAATTAAAATTTGTTGGGCGAGTGAGGGTTCATGCAAATGACAGTAATGAGTGAAGGCTTGCTTCTAAATTCAAAATATATTAAAATGGGTCGCGAGGAGGGGGGTTTTCAAGCTTTCCTCACACAGCCACCTCTTGTAATTGTTTGCCATAAGTTAATCATTTGGCGGTTAACTATTTGCGGTTCTGCAATGGTCTGAAATGTCGGTGCAGTATTTCATGTCAAGCCAAGTCGGTAAGTAGCTCATTTCAAGCCAACATATAGTCTCCTTATATTATATTAACCGACATTTGCTTACTTGGGGTGCTTTGCTTCACTTGAGGTTGACATGAATTACTTACAGACTAGGCGGCTCTGTGAACTTAAGAAGAGTATAGGGGCTTTTGTCTTTGGATTTTAGTGGACAATACTCACATTCGTAGTAGTTTCTATACTGTTTACAGTCAGCATGATATTTCAGACGTCTCCTCGCGTCGCAAGAGGAGTTTGTGGGGAGACGGCTAAAATTCAGGCTAACTGATAACAGTTAGAAACTATCGCTGCGCTACCACTGCCACTGCAACGTGAATCCTTAATTTAATTATCCAAGTCCAAAGCGATGACCCCCTAAGCTCTTCTTACGGTCGCAAAGCCGTAAATGGATAACCGTTAAACCGCATGGCAAACATTTACAAGTGGTGGCTGTGTGAGGAAAGCTTGAAAACCCCCTCCTCGCGACCCATATTTTAATATATTTTGAATTTAAAAGCAAGCTTTCACTCATTACTGTCATTTGAATGGACCCTCACTCGCCCAAAAAATTCATTGTGACAAAATATTGTTTTTTCATACTCGGAGATGATACCAGTTTCTTTTTCTTTCTTTCTTTCTTTGTTTGTTTCTTTATTTTTCGTTTTTAAGTTATGTTATGTTATTTATTTTGTTATTTATAAATTTTTGCAAAAATTGTTTTCTATCTATTGTTCTTTTTATTATTTATTTATTATTATTATTATTATTATTATTATCATTATTTAATTAATTAATTATTTTTTCATAAAAAAAAATATTTCAATTTTTTCATGTTCCGGAATGTTCCGGAATGTTCCAGGAATGTTCCGGGATGTTCCATGTTCCGGGTTTTATTGACGCCCTCTATCTAGGGCCCATTATTATATCTTTTGAGGCCGTCGCTAAAGTATTCATGAACCACGCTCATATGTAGTGGTCCCTATAATGACCGGCTCTGCTTGTGACGTCATCAGACTAGGACACCCACAATATAACGTCACCGGCCACTACAGAAATCGCATTTTTAAGGCTGGTTTTCACCAGAGACGGAGTTGGAGTTAGTAGCGTAGAACTTTACAATCTAATGAAAACAGCGTTATGATTCCGCTTATGACTCCATCGTTTATGATAAAGTGAAAACTAGGTTGTTGGAGGCACAAGCAGAAGCCGAAGAACTAAACCAAACACAAAGTGTGGGAGTGGCATTGTGATTGGTTTATCCTTCCACTTCTGCTTCCGACTCCGACAATCTGGTTTTCACCAGATCGTAACCGACAGGGTCATAAATGGAGTTGGAAGAAAATGGAAACTTTCTGATTCTTCCAACTCCACTTACGACTCCAACTCCGACTCCACTGCAAGTGAAAACCAGCCTTTACAGCACAGGAAAAAATAACGGTTCCCATTTTTGGATATTTTAGGGTATTTAAAGAATACCCACTAAAATCCCAAATTTGGAAGAGTGAGACAAGTCCCAATCAGGGAACTTGGTTGGGAATTCCCTGGTTGGGACTTGTCTCACTTTGCCAAATTTGGGATTTTTATGGGTATTCCTAAAATATCCAAAAATGGGAATCTGTTATTTTTTCCTGTGCAGAGAAACATACATTTTGGCTCAATATATTTAGCATTATCACGATCCCAATATGAATGAAAAAAATTTTGAGTATGGATTGTTCATTTGAATAAAACCTGCAGAAAAGAGAACAAATAAAATGAAAAGTGTGTTTTTCGGACATAATTTTTCTATTTTTTGAATTTTCTCCAAAAGCATGCTTACGTTTCTCAGAAACGGGTTACTTTTTGACCGATTTTGTCTACCTTTTGTCTGTTTGAAAAATTTGGTGTGGGGTGCTTTCATCAGAAGGCTCTCAAATTTAAAAAAATTCCTGTGATCAATGACACTTTAAACCAAAGATATATAAAACTGAAAAACATTGTGACTGGTCTGGATTGAATTTTGGGGAGCAAGGGTGCATGGCGCAATGGAGATAGCACTCCCCTGCCACCAATGTGGCCCGGGTTCGAATCCTGGTGTCAATTTTATATGTGGGTTAAGTTTGTTGTTGGTCCTCTCCCTTGCTCTGAGAGGTTTCCTCCGGGGACTCTAGTTGTTCCCTCTCCTTAAAAAACAACACTTCCAAATTCCAATTCGATCTGGAATGCACGGACACGTTTCAAGTTCTTAAAAACTCCTAAGTGCTCCATGGGTAAATAAATTACAATTTATAATGTTTCTTTTTTACAATTCCATATATGTGCCTAATTGTTTGTCTGTTAAATTATTTTCCTTGTGATTGTCTTTAGGGAGGGAGTGGAGTGGAACCGAATGCGCAAAGCTCTAGCACCAAAAATGCTGCGACCTAAAGACATACGTGAGAACATGGAAAACTTTACTGCTGTAACTAGGGATGCTATAGAGCACATGGTGTCTATACGAGGAGCTGATATGGAGATTCCAGATCTTGGCAAAGAACTCGCCCAGTGGGCTACAGAGTGTAAGTGCTCACTGGGAGCTGGGGCACTAATACAATGATCACACAAAGCATTTAAATTGAACCTCCATTAAGCAAGCACCTGTTAAGCAGCCACCCACTACTAAGTGGTTAAATGACACCTCTATTTCTATTATGTGACCACCTCCATCAAGCAGCTGTGGCCACCTTTTGGCCATCCCGACAAGAGTTTTTCTATTGTTGTCACCTCTATCAAGTAGCCATTAAGACTTAAGTGCTTCATACACTTATATAATTTGGCTTTATATTAAAAACATGATGAAGGAAAATACAGTCCCGGTTAGGAAGGTGACGTCTGATTATGGATCAGTGATGCCACTCCCATTGCATCTTTTTTAAAAAATAATGTGATGTTTCTGTTAAAGGTTATGCTATTTTATGACAACCTCTATTGTGCGGCCAACCTCTTTTAAGCGGCCACTTGCCGACACCTTGAGGGTGGATGCCTTATGGAGGTTCAAATATACTTGTTTTCAAATTCTTTCCCTGGGAAACCTGCTGTAGCTGCTTGTAAGCCCTTAATTGCCTCTAAACTTGAAGGGACGTAGAAGATGTAAGCAGGTTTTTGGTGGTAGTAACAGCCTTTGCTC